CAACCAAACATCTTTCGGACATCAACAAATTCAAATCTCAACGGAATAGGGTTAATAACATAAAAGCATGTATATGGTATTATTGAAGAGTACTCTGATCCAAAAGCATACTGGAGACTCATCAACAGGTTAATGCAATCGTCTGGTTCTATTCAATCTATACCTACTCTTGTAGATCCTGTTTCTGATAATGTGGTTACTAGTGACGAAGACAAAGCTAATTTATTAAACGATTATTTTTGCTAAACAACTCGTGTGGATGACAGTTCCTTTCATCGAGCCAAAAACTGACAAGAGTCTTTGGTCCGTTAGAGTCAATAATAATGAAATACGAGATATTTTACAGATATTGAAGCTTTGTAAGGCCTCGGGTGAGGATGAATCAGTCATCATATGCTACGAAACACATCAGAAACCGTTTGTGTTCCGCTTGAAATCATTTTTAATATGTCTTTATCGTCTGGTGTTTACCCAAACACTTGGAAAACAGCTAAAGTTATGCCTCTGATTAATAAGGTGAAAGGCAATCTCCCTCTAATCACAGGCCAATTTCTTTATTATCTGCAGTTGGCATAGTGTTTGAGAGAGTAATTTTCAAATACTTGCATAATTATGTTATTGAAAAATCATTTTTGTATAATCATCAGTCTGGTTTTTTGCCTGGTCATTCTACTGTAACACATCGGTATTGCCCTAGAGGGAAAAAAGCATGTATGTATGGTATTCTGCGATATTTCTAAGGCTTTTGATCGGGTTTGCCAGGGCTTCCGTAGGTTTGGCATAAGGGTTAGATGATTAAGTTAAAATCTTATGTAATTTCAGGAGAATTTTATCAATGGTTGGAAAATTACCATTATAATAATAATATGGCTGATGTTTTTGAGTCAACCGCTCGTCTTTTTGCAGACAATACTTCTTTGTTAAAATCATCCTCTTCGTGTCTAGAAATCCAAACGGTTCTGAATAGAGATCTCGAGTCTCTTAATGCATGGTCACAAACTCGGTTAGTAACATTCAATCCAGAAAAAAATTAGTTAATTTTTGTTTCAAACTCGGTTGAAATTAATGAAGATTTAGAATTATAATTTAAATTTTAATGATCATCATGAAACAGAAACGTAGACAAGCAGAGAGGGAGTGGCGACGGACCAAATTAACAGTTCACCAACTGATTTATAGAGAGCAATGTCGGCTAGTTGGTTCACTGCTCTTTTAGTCAAAGAAGGCTTATTATTCGGAAAAAAATCGAAGAATGTGGCAAGGATAAAAGACAACTTTTTAGACTCACCAAAAACCTAATGGGACAGAAAAGTGAAATTATCCTACCAAGCTGTAATTCTTAAAAAGACTTAGCAAGCAAGTTCAGTGATTACTTTCTAAATAAAATCAGCTCAATCAGGGAAAATATTACCGAAGTGAACACCTCTGCTGACATTGACATCTCTGTCATGACTGCTGACATTGTATTTGATGGTGAACCATTGACAAAGCTCTCACCAACAACCCAGGACGAGTTGCGCAACATTATCATGACCTCGCAATCGAAGTCCTGTGAGCTTGATCCACTGCCTACAGACCTATTAAAGCAATGTCTTGAAGCACTGCTTCCTTTGATTACCGCAATCATGAACAAATCATTGGTTGAGTCAAAGGTTCCATTATGTTTCAAGAAGGCACATGTCAGACCATTGTTAAAAAAGCCTGGAATGGACAAGGAGGAGTTGAAAAACTACCGCCCAGTTTCAAATCTGCCTTTTCTGTCTAAGATCTTGGAGAAGGTTGTGTCCCGGCGTTTAGAGGTTCATCTCCATGCGAACAGTCTCCATGACAACATGCAATCGGTCAACCGCATGGGACACTCTAGTGAGACGGTCATCCTACGTGTACATAGTGATATAGTTTCTGCATTGGATAACAAGTGCAGAGCGGTGCTTGTCAAGCTGGACATGTCAGCTGCATTTGACGTCATCGACCATGGCATACTTTATAAACGTCTGGAAAACTCTTATGGAGTGACTGATACAGCACTATGCTGGATACAGTCATACCTGAGTGGACGACGACAGTTTGTTACCATCGGATCTGCCACCTCACATGACAAAGTACTATATTTCGGGGTTCCTCAAGGGTCGGTGTTAGGACCACGAAAATATTGTATGTACTCCAAACCGATTGGAGAGATTTGTCGTCGCCATAGCCTTCGCTATCATTGCTATGCTGATGACACACAAATTTACATGGTCATAAAACCACAGGACAGTTGGAATACAGTCTCAGAAAGTCTGGAAGCTTGTCTGACAGATATCAGTATCTGGATGAACGCCAACATGCTTAAACTTAATCAGGAAAAGACGGAACTAATCGTCTTTTCCCCAAAGTGTCAGCAAACAATGGCTCTCCAGCTCAAGGTTGGTGCCAGAACTATTGAGACTGTTCCAGCTGTTAAAAACCTAGGGGTATACTTTGACAGTTCTCTGAACATGGAGAAACAAGTGAACGCTATTGCCAAATCCTGTTACTACCAGATCAGGAACATCGGCTGTATTCGGCAGTTTCTAACTGCAGATGCATGCAAGATTTTGGTGCATTCACTTGTTACCTCTCGGTTGGATTATGGTAACGCCCTGCTCTGTGGTATATCTGACAAACTAACTAGTCGTCTGCAGAGGGTCCAGAACACTGCAGCACGGCTAGTTACTCGTACTCGAAAGAGAGAGCACATCACACCTGCGCTTTATTCGTTGCACTGGTTACCTGTACGATACAGGTCGCAGTACAAAATTCTGGTATACACATACAAGGCACTGAATGGAACAGCTCCTCAATACCTACAGGAGCTTGTTACCATGTATTAGCCGTCAAGATCACTGCGGTCGGAGTCGGAATCTTTGTTGTGTGTCCCAAAATCTCGTACTGTGACCTACGGAAACAGATGCTTTGGAAGGGTTTCGTCTACGTTGTGGAATAGCTTACCATCTGCTATTAGAAAGTCAAATACCCTGGCCAAGTTCAAGAGGGACATAAAAACTCACCTCTTCACATCTGCATTTTAGAATCTTTGCATAGACGTCATGTAAATACCACCCTTTTATTTGTTCAATTATGTGCACATTGCTTGTTAAATGTATGAAAGTGATTGCAAGCTTTTGTTGTTTGTTTTCACAATTATAACCATTACTATTATCCATATGTTGTAAAGCGCCTTAGAGCAATTTTACAAATTGTATAGGGCGCTATATAAATGTTGTATATTATTATTATTATTATTATTATTATTATCATAAAAATTTAGGTGTAATTTTTAATTCAAGGGCAAAATGGGGGTCATATTTGTGCAATATATACTTCAGTTATGAAAAAAGTCAACGTCTTACGTAGACTCAATTACTTATTGAATCGAAATAATCTTTTAAAGATTTATAAATCCTTTATTTTACCAGTTTTAGAATATGCTTGTGAATTGTGGGATGGTTTTACAACTTATGAAACAGAAATGTTAGAGAAAGCCCTAAGAGAAGCTTATCGTATAATTACTTCAAATGTCAGAATTGAAGATTTACTTTTTGAATCTGCTCTAGAAACTCTTTCGAAATCGAAGAAAACGCCAAAAAAATCACCTTTTGTATAATATGCACAACAAATTAACTCCGGACTATTTAAATGATCTATTGCCGTCTACCGTTGCAGAAAATAACCGTTACACCCTTAGAAACAATAATGATCATAGAATTCTTCTTTTCAGGCTTTCTCAATCAAATTCCCTTTTTATTGCTTCAACTCTTCGCAGTTGGAATTTATACGACCTTTCAGTACGATCATTTACTTCTTTACATTCTTTTAAAAACACGTTAACTTTAAACGTACTATCTCCTCATAAACATGTTGCATACAAAACTTAGACATCAGTGTAGTCCACTGAAGTATGATCTTTATAGAGTAAATCTTGTTGATAGTCCAGTTTGTTATTGTGGCCATCCCTGTGAAAATGCCTTTCACTTTTTTTGTGAGTGCTTACTTTTTAACAACGAAAGACGCATCCTGCTCCAAAATTTGAATGCGTTGCATGTTGATTTTTATTCAGAATCACTTTTATTTGGTAATACTCAACTTTCGGTAGAAATCAATACAAACGTTTTTAGACAAGTGCATCATTACATCAAATCGAGCAATAAGTTTTGATAATTATAATTATCTTTCCTTATTTATTTTTATTTGTGTACTTTGTTATATATGTTTATGGAATTTTATTTCATTATTCTGCCTGATTTCTTTGTTACATTGATTTTGTTCATTATAAAATTACTATACCGGGCTGCATGTCATGAAATTTTATATAATTTATAATTTATTCAAATGCGGATTCTCTAGGTAACTAATGGTACTATTGTTTAAAAAGCCCAGTATGGAGTTTCGACTAATCCTATTTTCAATAAATGCGAAATTAGTTGCTAAGATGCGATTATTTGTTCTGTATTGTAACCAGTGTAACTTACAAACTTGTAGTATTTTTTGTAAGCATGTTACCAGAGACATCTCTACTATTACTGTTACTTAAATAAAAGTGTATTAATTATTTAGGCTAAAACATAAATGACTCTTGCGAAACTGGAGTGATTTCCTCCATGTGTGAACTTTTTCTGAATCCATCTGCAAGCAGTATTGAAAAAAGGAAATTTGGTGTTTGTTCAAAAAAAGTCTAACCACGGACTTCGATAATCCAGAGACGTATATATAACGTCCGATATATGTCTCTGGATAAATATGATTAATTTTGACTTATTAAACATTTTTTGCCCCAAATTTGATTATACAAATAGATGTCTCGAGATCTGGATCGAAGTCCGTGGTCAGTCTAACTTTATCACAGTTTGCCAACGTTTTTTACTGATAGAAAAACAAGATCACCTGCATAAAATAGACAATGTATTTATCTATTAGAACTATTTGGGACCCCCTTTCTAAAAATAGATGGGGTGTCCCACAACCTTCACTGCGCATGACGCGTATTCCCGCCATCTTTGTTATGATTACTGACAGCACACGCGACTGTGAGAAAACACACTGGTGAGTTTATGTTTTAACATAACATGCTTCATATGCATCATATTCAATGTAAACAACATGTTTGGAATTACGACCAGTCCCGTTAACTATCCATTTTGAAAGGCATGTGGCCATCTTTATTGATAAACTCGGTAAACTGGCGTCCTATTCACGGAGTTATTTCTTCGGACAGAAGCAATGTGCAATTTGAACTTGAAGTTCGGAAACTTCTGAACGGTTTGTGTGGAAGTGGTAATAAAATCAATTTTCATGGGCAATATCACATGCTTATTCTAGGGTATATACTGCTTCATGGAAGCTGAAAGCAATGGAAAATTTTCAGCAATTTTAGATATATCATAATGTAAATTAGGCCTAAAGAAAATGGAAATATGGAGTGGCTAAATAGGTTTTGGAGTGATCCACTGTCCTTTTCAGAATCAACCCTGATATTTCAATCATACCATATGCATCACTATTATCAGCTGAATTGATGACATAGTTAATGCTACGAATGACATGTCTTCAAGGTCGTAACAAGTCCCGAAATTATGGTATGGTCACCCAAAATGTCATCCCCCTGATTAGCCATATCTGAATTCCGTGTTTAAGGCGGCAGTACCAAAATCGAATCGGTATCAAAATCGGATCACTTTTTGCAAAAATACTTATAAATAAATAAATGTGTCAACAAATCAGTTATAACAATGATGTTGTCTTATAATAGATAGCCATGCACCATTTTTTGACTACAGATAATTAGTTTTTTAAGTTCAAATAGCGCAAGAAAACGTAACTCAAATGTCAATGTTTTAATTACGTTTTTAAAAAATGGCGTGTGCAACGACTATGCAATATGTTTTGGACTATAGGAATAAATTCACACTATAGAAATTCATTTTGTCACATAAATTCCAAAGGTCATCATAAAATGTTAGTATGCTGACAAAAAATATTCATTTGAAGCGTACGATATCATCTAGACACCAGTTTCCGCGCGTTATGTATTTCCCCGCAGACATTTTATCAAGCTATATCTCGTAACTACGTGACCTGCTGGACACAACACCAGGATATTTTAGACGTTTGGCCATCGTCTGTAAACTGACAAAAAAAATACCGGAAGTTCGTCCGGAAAACATAAGATTTAATCACCGATTAAAAAACACGCATAAATATGCAGTTTTGCTTAATGCTCTTTTTATCTTGCTCAAAATGAACCCATACCTGAAAAACGGTGATATATTTCATTCATGAACCAGTCTTTTTTGTAGTCTGACAAACGTACAAAAATGTCGTATGCAAATGAGGCCACATCTCCTCGCCGATTTTTTTCCACTTCCGAAGAGCCAAGGAGACATTCTTATATCGATAAACAGTGTTTTCAAGGAAATGTTAAACTTGTAATGCAATGAACCTTCTATTTTCACCAATTTGAAACAGAACAAAATGAGAAATAACTTACCATCAACCAAAACCGATATAAGACTGCAGAAAATAAATAATAACAGATTCTATATCATAACTAAATAAATGTAATAAATAATTTCAAAAAAATACATGAATTCGTTTAATTTGACATCTTGAAAAATAAATTAAAAAGGTGAAATTTAAAAAAAGTTGTTTTGATATTTAATTTGACGATCAAAGATATATTTTTTATTCCAAACGAAGCTTTTGTTCTTGCAGGTCACTGTAGAGAATTTCTTTTTAGTGTATTCGAGTTATCTTTCTTTGAACACTAAATCAAAATAGACACACGGAAACATATGATGGCTACTTCCGACGGGAGAAATTTGCTAAAAATTGTTTGTTCTGATTTTTTTTAAATACAGTTTTATATTGCTAGTTTTTTGTTTCCTTTAGTAGATTGTATACATGTTTATGACAGTCTTCCGTAATTTCAACAGTGTTCTGCCGATATGAGTACGAAATCGCGGATGCTTCTGAATTGCGCGGAAACCGGTAACCCGAGGATACTGCAAAATTCAAGCCGTGATCCGATTTTGGTCCCGACATTCGCAATAACTGGAGACGCTAATTGGTGACTTCAGAGTGTTCTATAAATATCTTGTTTGTGAGAACACCCATCGATATTCTATTTTTGATACAACCATAAATGAATATAATTCCTCTTCAGATTTTTTAATGATTTAATAAAATGATGGTTTGGTGATCCGATTTGGGTACTGTCACCTTACTACTTCTTCTTCTTCTTCTTCTTCTCCTTCTGGTACAGAGTTGGGTTCCATACAGAACGTTATAAACTCAACTAATGATAACCTATCTGCATGATTCCTCGGGTGGTCGGGTGATGCAGTAGATAGCGCACTTGCCTAGCTAGCTTTCACCAAGGCAGCCAGGGTTCAATTCCCCGATCGGAAGTGAAAAGGTTTGGGTCACCTGCCCGACCACATATATATATGTTTTCTCGGGGTACTCCGGTTTCCTCCCACACTAAGACCCCACCCCACCCACTATCATCCGGGCCAACAAGAGTCATTAATATAAGTTGAAAGAACTTGTTTCATAATTGTTGTAAAATAGATAAAGTTTATATGATTACTGAAATTATGAAACACATAAGTTACAACTACTTTTATTCTGAAATTATTTTTAGTACATTTCCCCCACTACATCATGATCAAACAAATATACCTCATATTTAATGGCCCCTTACCTGCATTATGAAGTTTCCAATGTTGACATTGGTCAGAGATGTCTTTAAATATGGGATGTTTAATTGAAATGCTTGACTAAATTCCTCTAAAGAACCAAAAGGTATACCTTGACTGGATTTGCTGATGGACAATAGCGGGACTGTCACACTTTTCGGAGTACCCATGCAAGCATGGTTCTGTTTTTATTGGAACCTCTGTCTAAAAATGTATATCGGTACTCATCAAAGCAGGTAACTATCTGTCATTGTCCACATCAAGAAAGGAAAGGAATGTAATATTTAAATGTCCCAGCCACAAGTTTCATTTTAACTGAAGGTGTATGGCATTTAATATAACCTTTTAGCTGTAAGCTAGTCATGTTCACAAGCATTAGACATTCTAATCATTTTGTTTTCTCATGGTTGTATTTTTCCTCTGAAGCTTTTGCTCATCTGATACATGATGAACTTTTATAATTATATGGGCATGGTTTGTTAAACAAGAGTACATAGGTTCATAGGTTAAAGCATTGTAATGCCCTATTGTTTGATTCCTGATTGCAGCTGTACAAGTTTATTGTATCATTTTGGTGTGAAGCATGCATGCCGATGTGAAACAGGATCGCCAGTGTGCCAAATACTCAAAGTACATTTGTGTGTGCCTTTTTGTTGCTCATAAGCTGTAAATGAATACGCATTCTGACCAGCTCATATATATATGATACAAACCCAAAGTTACCACAACATACATTGAAAGGTTTCTCTTATTGTCTTTCTGTTTTAAACTTCTGGCTTATTTAAAGAGATGAACACTTGTGACAAACAAGATTAAACAAAACATTTTGATCATATGATGATTTTATGAACTCTATAATCTGGTAGTTGTATTGACTGTTTTGAAAAGGCGGACGAATGTAGCACAGCGAGCTTGCTGTGTTGGTTGGAGATTTGTTAATTAACTGACAGAGGATGACCCTCGCCTTCAGGCATGTGGAGATGATATATTCCAGATGCCAGTGGCCTAGGAGGTACATGTAATATCACATTCCAGATGACCATGCATGTATAAATGCACATTAATAAATCTCCAACCAACACAGCACCTTTAATTTGTTATCCTCCCCCTCTGTTAAGGATGTACTCTTCTGAGGTTTCAATCACGTTCAAGTCTTGTTTTGATCTGGTGTAACGGGTTTTTGTAATGTTTAATAAATTATTATCAAGTTTATTAGCAAACACGCATCTGAAAAATATGTCAAAAAAATAGATGTCTGTTGTTTGTAGAACTTTTTTTACAAGAATTTAAAAAAATACCAATTCGGCGGCCATTTTGAAAATGTGTATTAATGTGTATTTCTTGGGCTTCAAAAAAGGCAAAAATTTCACCTTTTTTGACACTAGATTGATCACTTAAGTTGTCATTGTCTCGCCATTTTTAATTATAGCAGGTTCAATTTTGCTGTACAACTTTATAATGTTTAATTTGATAAAAATAATATGCAACAAACTGGAAAATTATACATTATTGATATTTTTTTTACATATTTAGTGTAACTGAAGCACTTTTGATTTTTGACCCCGAAAAAGGTAAAAAATTACACAAATGATAATGGGACAAAAAAAGAAGCACACCGACCCCCCATTTTTGTGGATGTTTTAGAAAGAGAAACACATTTTCTTTTAATTCATTAAATATTAAAAAAAGTTTAATACCACAACTTTTTATATCAAGCGTTTAATCTGCAAAAAATGGTAAAAAAATGAGTATTTTTTCATTAAAAAATAGGGGGTAGGGGTAACTTAAATCGGCTTTCTGAGTTAAAAGAATAAGATTAAGAAATTTTACTTCCCTAATTAAAAAGAAAATAATATTTTTATCAATTCTACAAACATTCATACATATCTGATAACACACTTGGAAGAAATTGTATGAATTTGTTCCGCATATGGTCAAAACCCAAAAAATCACCTAAAAGCACATGTTGTGTTAAATTGGTATCTTTGACCGATCATAGCACAAAAACGAACACACCGACATATAGTTTTTTTTACATTTTCTACTATGCCATTATCTCCATTTTCCAAAAATCCATATAAGAAAAAAAGTTTAATACAGGAAATTTTTGACTTCTCAGAGGTGTACATCCTTAAGCCCACCGTGCTACATGTACATTCATCCCCACTTTGAAAACGTCAATACACCTGCCAGTTAATAAGAGTCCTCGTTTTATGCATGTACATCAAATTTTTGACAGGAGATATTATGGTATTGGTAGAATTCTTCTGTTCATTAATTTGGTTTCTGGAATATATATTGCTTAAATATTATTTGCATTTAAATTCAATTCAATTGTTAGGTTCAAAGATAAGTGAAATCTGTGCATAATTAATTAGCATATATATACTGCACTGTTGGATCAATGCCCACACTAAAGTTTCCGCAAGATTGCTTGCTTAATTGACATTTAATTTTAAAGAAACTTGGGATTTAGAAGACATTTCGTAAGCGTATAAAAAGATGGAAGTTCAAAGTTGCGCCAAATCCATGATTAATCAATTACCATACTGTGTTCTGAATTGTTGGCAGTCTCGTCACTGAATTAAATGTTACCAGATTCTGATGGCTCTTGCCCAAAAGTTATATTTGATGCTCAACAGATTCTGCACATGGTTAATTTGCAAACTGGCCATGGCTGAGCTCTGATTGGTTGGCAGTTTCTACACAATTGGTCGATTGTCATATTATTGAGTCAAGTTACCTCACTTCAGTCCTATAGTATATATATATATGATTGTACAGTCTTTGGATTTTGTATTAAGAACAATTTTATCTTTCATTTATTCCTTTGTATGCTTCAGATTCTGACAATTGTGCACTCATGGAGAAAATGTGGATCAAACCTGATTGAACGGTTGTTTTAACACAACAAGGAGAAGTGCCACTGAAGACATATACCAGGCAGCACAACTGTGGACACATTCATGGACATATACAACATGGCTGCCTTTCCACGCCAAGGCTCTCCAGAGTGGGTGTGGTACCAACAGATGCAGGTACGGATGAAGCATGGTCAATGTGAATCCCAAGGGCCTACACCAGCAGATTTCCAGGCATTTAACCTACGGCCAAGGGGTCAAGGTCATCCAAGACACTTGAGGCCAAGGTTCATCCCCACAGGTCAAAGGTCCAGAGGGCCACCACCACCACCATACTTTATGATGAATCAACACATGGTTAGGAACAGTACTCCACAGGGCATGATGAATCCAAGAATGTACCAGCCACCTGTCCACATGGCCGGTAGACCTAGTTCAAACCCTATAGAAGGTCATTATATAATATTATGCGTTTGTAACCTTGCTGCATTGCCACCATATATATGTACCACCAAACTTGTATATCACAAAATAAATTGGCATAATACAGATTTACTGACAATTACATTGTAAATATACCCATTTTAATGCCAAACTTGGTAAGCACCATATGTCACGTGTGCAATCCTTTTAAAACAGTAAAAAATACAGGTTGTCAAAAAACAATCTTGCCCTGGGAAATTGCAAGTAGACATTAGAAATCCACTTGCCCAAAAATATTTTCTGCTTGCCCCATGTAAAATGCATATTATATATATAGATGTACAGACAGAAAACAGATTTTTTCAAAATAAGAGGATTTTCATCAAATATTTTAGTCTTTTCTCTCCCTATTTGTAATCATTATACCGTAAAAACCCATGTAATTTGTACACCTATGTAATTTGCGCAGGTACTTTTTGAGGCTGAAAATCCCCAAAAAAGCTTCTACTCGAATATTTTGCGCATCAAAAGAAAATTGCAAAAAAAAGTTCAAGCTCCGAAAATCGATCTCTGAAAATGAAAGATAAACCGATGTCTGAATTGATGGATAGACCGCTAGTATTTTACCTGCAATTTTTTCCTCAAAACAGAGATTAAAGTATTCATCTTTTTCGTGAATTTTTGTTTGTTTCATAATTGTTTGACTGTTCACTAAAATACAGACAGTAAAGTTCATTACTTATTTGGGGGAGCGAAGAAACACATGCAAAAACATGTTTTATATACTATTCTAACACACTTTCCCGGGGCAAGTGGACCAAGTTTTTGCACTTGCCCAAGTGCTAAAAGTGGTTGTCCCGTGTGTCGGGTAAGCAGATTTTTACACCCCTGGAAAATGTATCAAATATACCCCCAAATCTAAAATCATTGGGATCACTGTATTTCAGTTTCAACAAATTTTATTGAACAAAAAATTGCACAATTGGATAAGACAACAGCCTATATAAGTCTTCTCCTATCCGGTATTAATTGACAAGAATTTTAGTACATGGATCAACGAGACACACTCATATACACTTACAACCATACCATAACACACATACACCCTCACATACACCCTCACATACATGTACACATAATAAATAAGCATTCACAAACACACACACACACACACACACAAGCCCTTACTCAAAATTTAATATATACATATAAATAGATATAAGAGGCAATGAAAACAGTCATAATTTTTATACATAATCACTGTATTTAACAGACTATTCCATACATTTTCAAGAATGAACTCAAACCTGATTTAGCATGTACGTACATAGTATCTCTAGATCTTGATGAAGCTCATCCAATGTCAAATAGATGACGAATGTGACTCACTTTGGGTGAAGGTCATTGCATTGCTAAATGGGTTAATAACATGTATATATGATCACATGCATTTTGTCTTTGTAGCTTATAATATTTCCATGTTTTTTGGTATTACAGGACTACACGAACTGTGTAATGGACCACAAAGACCCTCACCACCAACCAATCAATGTATTTCACCAGTGAATCAGCGGGTTTCCATGGACACCGCTCCAAGAGGCCAATCCCCATTATCCTACATGGAAACTTCACAAGCACTTCCAGTTTCTCAACAAGGCCCACCAGCTAGTTCACAGGTCAGGAGTCATCTCCATCCCAGCATGCCACAGTACATATCTCATTCTGGGATGAGGATGCCTGTGAACAGTCTTCCCATGATGCATCCACCGCCACTCATGAAGGTCAACGGGACACTTGTCCAGCCGATGGAACAGTTCTCAGGCCCGTGGACAGGCCAGCCAGGAAATGTTAGCTTTCAGCCAAGATTACCATATAACTTTAATGGATTCCCGGCAGGAAATAGGATGCATCCTGATCAAATATCAGCTCAACATAGAGGTCAAGTCCCAACCTTAAGTGTAACTACTGATAATGCAACAAATTTACAACAGACATCAAGTTTCCAAAATACTAACTTTTCAAAGAAGGATTTTGAAGCAGAATCCTTGAATTCCAATTCTGATGGAACTCTTTCAAATAGCATATTTGGACGGTGGTACAAACCCCCAACAGAAGATGATGAAGTGAAATATGACTATATCTTTGATGTGGATAGTGAAACACAAACCAATGAAATAGATAATGACCTAGAAAATACAAAGACTTCAAATGCCAGTTCACATCTCATCAAGAGACCAAGCAGACTCAGTAATGAGAAAAAAGGGAATAAAGGAAAACGATTAGAAGGGGAAATCAGTAGAATATTTAGTGCCTTTAAGGCACAGTTATCTCCCCTTGGTTCCGACTCTCTTCCAGAGTCTCGTACCGGGTTCGAAGCAGAGCCAGACACATTTTCTGGAAGAAGTTCCAACAATAGCATATCTAGTGACCAGTCTCATTCTCAGGCAGCACAACCTGGTAATAACAAAACACCCTCATCAAATGATCACGGGAATGATAATCATCTTGAGAAAGCAAACAATGACACATTGCCAAATGTTCACACAAGTCAACAACAAATCACCTGTACAACAATTCCTCCAATGCCCCCTCTCATGCAGGCTCCAATGGTTTATAACCCAGTGACTTTACAGTTTGGTCAGCAATTATTACCACCAGCTTTGACCAGCCTTTCCACAAGGAAATCACCATCTTTGTTCCAAAACCAACCAAACCCACCAGTCGTATCACATAGTGGTCCTATAAGTACCTCTTCATTTGTTTCTTCAGAAAATTCTACAGATCATTTATCAAATCCAGTGACATGTTCTCAAGAAGTTCCGGTAAATAACATTCGTATACTTGACACATTTTCATTATCACTTCCTCGAGAAAGTTTTGTCAGTGACATAGTAATACAACCACAGGAGACGAATGTGAACCTGAATTCTTCAAAATCATCTTCGCAAGCAAATGTGGGTAAACATCCAGAAAACAACAACCAGGTGAAGTCGCCTACCAGAAAAACTAGTGAATGTGATTCACGTCCTAACATCGTTCGAGAGGGAAAAAAAGTTACTCCTTTGCGAATAAGATTACCATTTGTTTTGAAATCTCGTCTGCAGGAAAAGTTGAAGAAAAATTCCAACAAAATTAACCAAATGAGTGAAAAAAAGAAAGATCCAACCGAAGGGACATTCCAGGATACTGTTAGCCCTGTAACGGACAACCAACAAAGTCCTGCAACAGACTCCTTGGGAAAACCTTTAGAGAAATGTGTTGAACCATTTGGATGTTCAAGAGATAAAAATACAAAAGGTGAAACTGTGCAAGACAATGTGTCTATTGAGAAAGACAGTATCTGTACAGATGAAAGTATCTTACCAACTTCATCCTTACCAACTAGATTACACACAGATTCCCCTGTAAACAATGTGGACAAGCTATTACCTTCAGACAAGAACACACACAAAGGTAACAGCAATGACAAGCCAAACGATCCTCTTAATCTAGATGATAGATTAAAGGAAGTTGTTTCCAAAATTTCTTCAGGGCGAAAGCGCAGGAAATCTGCAATGTTACTGGAATCACAACCCTGTACACCAGATGCAAAAAGAAGGAGACTTTCTAAGGAGAACGAACTAGATTCTGACGTTAGTTGTCAGAAAACAGTGATCTCAAAATGCTACAGTCTGAATAACGATGAGGTAAAAATTGTTGGTGAGCATATTAAACAGCCAGATGGCACAGTCATTACGCCCAGTACAATTACACACAGTGCAACAACCTCAATCTCTACAGATAGACTGCCTTCAAAGCAGCTTTGTTCCAGGTCCAATACACCAACTGTTGCCAAGGAAACTGTATCAGAAACTGAAAGTGCCAGCGTTCAGGAACCTGCATCAGATATACACAAAGAGAAACCTTTAGAAAATGAAATAGCAACTGACAGTGATTTGCCAAAGATCGTCAGATCACCTAGACTTAGGAAGGTTAGAGTGTCTAATCGACCATGGCTGTTAAAAAGCAAAGAGATGGATGTTGCAGATCCCCAGAGCAAGACAGGAGATTTACAAGAACCTTTATCAAAAGGTCAAGATAAAGATTCACAAGAACCGGTACCTATGATGGACAAAACCAATGATGAAAATTTGGAAAAGAATAAATCGGATATTGAAAGATGTCAAGAAAGGTCAAAATCTCTTTGCCTCAAGTTGAGAAGAATATCATTTCCCCCATCATCTTCAAAGGATCCGGATAGTAAATCACAGAAAAAAGGGAGCGTAAATAAGGTCCTAGAGAAGGGAAAGAAATTTGGAGCAAGAAACTCAAGCAAAGACATCAGTGCGGAAAGTTTGGAGAAAGTTGTCCCAATGCAAGAATCTGTGCATACAGAAAATGATTCTGAAGTGAACCTTGATGGAGGTGTTGACAAAAACATTATCGGCAGTGACAACAGCGTTGATGAAAACATGAATAACAATAACTCTGGTTTGTCTGAATGTGTTGAAAGTATAGAGATGTCAACTGTCGTACACATGGATAGCCCTATCATTGAGGAATCAACTGTAATCGACATGCACACCGATGATCCAGTTACTGTGCCCGATGATGGCCCAATCACAGACATGTCAACTGTCACACACACTGACAGTGCAGTCACTGAGGATTCCACTGCCAAAAATACAGACAGCCCAGTCAAGGTCAGCACAGTGTTAAAAGACACAGCAGAAATGCGAGAAGAGAGTGATGAAATAGAAGTTATAAACATCAGTCCTAAACCAAAGGATACTTTTGACATCAATATTGTCAATGCTTTATTCTTTCCTGTGACATTTCATGGATCAAAAGCACTCTGTATTAGCTGCCTCTCAGGGAAATATTTTGTGGTCCGTGAACTTCTAAACAAATGTTTTGTTGATATTGCAGAGAAGAACAGAAAGAAGGGAGTGTTCAATTCTAAACTGTTCAAGCAGGTGTATGTTGCCAAGGAACGGGATCTCAACATTCCCTATGTGGAGTTACCCGAGGCCCTGCGTAACACTGTTGGGGAGTACTTGGTGAAAGAACAACTGATGCGAAAGAGTCTTGTCTGCCACATTGGCATTATCCATGTGAATGATGCAAAGCGACTTTACCATTTCTTTTATGGTGTGAAGACCTGTCATGATTTGAAGTGTGTGTTGCCATGGCCACTAGAAAGTTCCAAAGAAACAACAAATCAAACAGATGGGAACACAAACGAGAGTAGACACGATAGGCTAAAATCAAGAAATAAAGATGCAGTAATTGATCCACCAGTAATTGTCGTGGACAATGATGAAATGGAGGACACAACATCTGATCCAGCAGAAAATGGCGTTGAAATCATATCATGTCATGTGATATATGACCGAGAAGTCGATGATACACCAGATGAGGGTGCAGAGTCCCAAGAAATATCAGAGACATCAAAACTATCAGGCATAACAGACAAATCATCTGTTGCACCAGCACACTGTTTAAAAGTCCCCAAGGTATCACCCAGGAATGAAAGAGAGCCAAGTGTCAAGCTGAAGAGGAGACTGATGATGAAGAGTAGGAGAGAACGGCTCTCTAGTGGAAGGAGGGGAGATAAGAGTGACTTGTCCGATGACAGTGATGCAACTATACCCTACATGGATGAAACAGAGAGTGACATGGAATGTGACAAGAGGAAACTTTCTTCCTCTGCATCTGATAAAAGTTTTGGAGATACAGAGACCAGACAATTTTTAGCTGAGTCTTCTAATAAGAATTCTGATGTCTCCAAAATTATCCCCATTGATGATGACAATGCTGAATATGTAGATCTAGCTACAGTGAACAGTTACAATGAGGACCACAACAGTGACGACCAACAACAGGAGATGAGAATTGATCCTGACCAGAATGAGGATTATGTTGTTAGAGGAGGAATAGCCGAGTTGTATGATGGTATGTTTCGATTCCTAGTGATCAACGGTAGGAAGTTTTTTCCATTTGAAGACCTCTGCCAGCATTATGAGAAAGAAGACCTCATAAACTGTTTGAAATCAAAACCAGGGCGTTTCAAGGCTATTAGATGCTCCATGATAGAGACCAATTTCTTGAATAATCTTGAACCATCTTTACCGACACTAGTGGAGAATGCCACCATCATTGAAGAACATTTCCTTCATTGTTCAGCAAAGTTGAATTTCAGAAAGATGTTTGACAATCCCGAACAAGAAGTGGTTGACTTGACGACTGATGATGATGCTGTCGTCCCTCAGAGACTCGCAGATTCCCCCATACTAACCCCTGAGGCGTCGCCAACATTGAACAATACCAGGTTGTCGGCTTTTGAATCATTCAGTACAGAGGACATGCTTGTAGATACGTCTGATGACATCCTCATGATGGAGTTGGGAACTGCAAACTGTGACACAAGTGGCAATGGATCTGTACATGCCAAGGTCAAAAATTCAGAAGATGACCTCAGTGCTATTGGTAAGCTTAAAAAACATGTGCTTGTTGTTGCAGTCAATATTTTTTCTATGACACAATAACCTCAAAAAAATTGTGTAAAGTTAATTCTTAGCAAAAAAAGGCAAGCATTAATGATTTATAGTTCTGAATGCAAAATACACCCATTACTGTATACGTATACTGAACAACTTTTGCCTCGTTAAATATTTGCCCTTTGCCAATAAAATTCATGTTTACCCTTGTAAATTTTGCCTTAACAGGAAATTACTACATATTGTATCATTACTAAGTTGTGTACGAATATTATCTTTCTTCATGTATTTGCCCCCATTGGGAAGGACAAAAACGGCAACAGTTAAACTACAACAGTTACTTTGTATATACAGTATATAATTAATAGATATATTTTCCTTTATCACCATCATATAAAAAAATATCCATTTAACTTAATTTGCGACAGTATAATGACGATATACCGCCAAAAATTTGCATGTTTTCTTCAAATTCTGGGTGTCTCTGCTCTGGATTGGTGCATCAGAAATATTCAAAGTGAGGCGGAATGACATTAACCTTTCTGGGTCACGCTAATTGTTTGTGACATCATAAATAATAAATTTCATGACGAATCCGGGTCAGTCGGGGTCATCGATGTCATTATCCATTGCCATCCAGGCTTCATATGCAAATGGAAAATTTGCAGACGGTATATCATGGTTTTACTGTCGCAAAATATTTTGATTGACCAATCAAATGCTGTGTTACATCTCAAATGAATTAAAATATCATATACCAATACCTGGTACTAATATATGTTTGAATTTAAGGAGTGTAATACACATGTACATAAAGAATTTATTACATAGTTTAAATTCCAATTTTAAGGGAAAGAATCTAGACAGATCATTCAGAATACATTTTGTATTGCAGATGGTCGAGAACAGAAAGCCGTTGCTGATGCCTTTAGAGATATTTGGGTAGAAAACCATTCTCTCAAATGTAAGTACATGTAATTGTCCTGATGCAGCTTTGAAGCGTAATGATCTGTCAGACCTGTTGGTCTTGATAGAGAAATACAAGGATCATTATAATACCTCAGGCACACTTTATGTTGTAAAGTGGAACTTATTTTGCTGTACAGGTACTGCACTGCAAAGAATCAAAAGCACTGGTACTTAATTGAAGTTAATTCAAGCAAACAGACTTCTAAAAATAATCAGTTTGATGTTACCTAGGTATAACAAATTATACATTTCAAGCGGGTACTTAATTGATAGGATGTATATCTAAAATTCAATCACTTCCGATGGAAACCATCTTTATCAGTAAGTATTAGTTTGACGATTTTAAAACCAAAGCATAGAAAAAAGGCCTGTGGATGTAGAAACTACGAGTACAGTAATGTTTCATTTGGGTGGCTAGCACACTTTGTATTTTTACTCCTTAATTTAGTGACTATGTAGTAATCAATGTTTCCAATGTGTATACAGGTGTATTGTAATGCCCTTTGAATTTGATATTTACAGCCAAAATGGCAATGATGTCACAGGATATTGAGGAAACTAAGAAGGAAACAATAGATTTTGAGGCCACCTGTCAACAGTATGGAGGTAAATGAAATCTGTATATTATAGGTCAAGGTCATTTGTTTGGTAACTGTTAAGAGGTTATTGTTAAGGTCAACTCAAATTATATCTTTGCACATATATTGTGATGTCACACTCGAATTACATGTACATATATTGTGATGTCAAAATCAAATTACCATACAGCCAAGATATGAGTACTGTCTATAAGACTTATACAAACTGAGGGGATCAATGCTTGGTGTTTTTCTGTTTATAAAGGAGCAGATAATTCAGAAATGTCTACAACCTTATATGTTTGCAATATATTATTGCCGATATACACTGTCAATGTATTTGGTTTTGAAACAATTATTCCATAACTTATGCAATTATGGCATGCTGCCAGTTGTCTCAAAGAAGGTAGTGTAGATGAAGGCCATTGGTTTATAAATATTTTGTTTTTTGGAATATTTGAGGCAGAAGTCCATCAATTTGATTGTCTTGCTTGTTTTTAGATGCTATTGAGCTGATGACAAAAGCGATACAACAAACTTGCTCAGAAGGTAGGTAATGATTGATAATAATTATAGTCATAGTAATCATTTAAGATTCAAAATACTATATTTAATGTTACATATTTATAAAAAACAAATACTGGTAGTGATATATATTCTGTTGTCTAATGTTACTATGGTTTAGATATACATACATGAAATGTATATAAACAAAGCATGCAGAAAAATACAAATCAGCTAGTTAAGTATACATGTCAGAAAGCAACAGTGATGAAGTCCGAAAATTTACGCAACATCCTTACAGTCGCCACTTTAATGTATCTCTCTTTCAAAATTACATTCATTTCACCAATACATCACGAGTGTTTAATTATCCACTATGCAGTGCTTTGGTAACCTTGGATATCCTTGGTCAGAGTTAAGCTGATGCTAAGTCTAGGTCATTCTTTTATATGTGAACATCAGGTGTTTTAACTTGATTTTACAAATAAAATCATAGTCATCTACAATGATTGTTGAAATTTCCATTCTCCCCAGCTGTGCAAATGAGAACCTGCGTTTCTTTTGTGCAAGAAAGCATTTGCTACAGACGTCCTTATAAATGGATCTTAGACCTGCATAATGTGTGTTTGTTCTTTTTCAGATCAAAAGAAAGACCTCTCTTTAGTGTGAATGAAACAAAATAGATGTGCAGACAACGACAGAATTCTACAATGACATTGGGAAAACATAGATGTGGCTTTTTTATGGTCAACATCAGCATATACCAGAAGTAGCCAAAAGAATTTTGAACTTGATAAAAAGTTTTCATAAGTAGCTTCATCGGTCTGTTTAACCCTTTCACCACTGTAGACCATAATGGACTCATCCAGATCAATGCATGGTAGAGTCTGCTGAAGTTACATAGGGGTGAAAGGGTTAATACTGTTACAATTTTCTTAAATTGCTGTCCATGCTGTGTGAAGGTATTTTTTCTCTGTAACTATGTTGATTTCTATCCGATTTTTGGCAGAAGCTTGCATAATTACACACCGGCCAAACAAGTCCTTGACCTGATGTTAGATCCCATTTTCTAAAAGCTTTTAAGAATCTTGTTTTTCTATACTGATCATCATGGCATTAAGTCATGCATTGGTGTGTTCATTCAGAATGAAAACCAAAAAAAGAAAACTTTAAAATTCTCTTTCAAGAGTGAAATTCATTTGTAACCCGTTAAATGTCATGTCAGACTTTAGATGGAAATTACAATTACAATTCCAGTCTACCCAGCTGTGCAAATATATAAGAACCTATGTTTCTTTGGTGCAAGAAAGCATTTGCTACAGACGTCCTTACAACCAATCTAGTAAAATACAGGTGAGGAGCTTGTCCTATTTCTGTCAATTTATTCATAAATATGAAATCAGTTTAAATATGCCCATCAAAATTATTGGTGTTATGTATTATGGTATGGGGAGCGCTTGTGCTTTCATACTTTGGTTTTCACAAGATAACTTGCTTAAATATTGTTTTATTTTGATATTAAGCCTGTATAATATACAGGATTTTCATGATTACTGTCGGTATTAATGAAAATTTCATGATGAACATACCCAATTTTTGTTCAAAGTACACGTCCGACTGATTTTGTAGAATTTTCATAGAAATTATTACGTTTTCTTTATAATTCCTGTTTAATTACATTTTTGATTTTCTACAAACTTGATCTTCCAATTATGCAGAAAGAAGTTGTTCATTTCTGATGATTTTTCTTTACAAGTTTTTCTCGATTTTGAGAGTCCCATTATTAAAATTAACTTTTTTTTTCTTCGTTTACCCAAAGATATTATGCATTGTCAAGATACAGACAGTCTTCTAATATAGAATTCTGACGAGTTTATTTCTTTGGTGAAACTTGGTTCCTACTTTTGTTATCAAGTTTTCATTCGAAATACTTTTAAGATAATAATTAAGGAACTGATCAATTTGTTTTGTGAAACAAGATTTGCAAAAATACATACCGGTATGCACTTTAAATTATTGATGTCAAACTACAACAGTATAAAAATGGATTCTAGTTTATTGTAATTTTAACTTGAACTGTTCACACTCAATTTCTGCTGCAAGAATAATATCTTGGTCTCTTCATGTCACATAGCAGTACATGTTTGAAATAGCAATTCAGACATCATTCCGTTTTAAAACAGAAATTTATCATCATACCTTTTAAGTTCAAAATCAGTCAATGGGATAAGGCATTACCGCAACATATTTGATTGCAATAGAATATAATTTTGATTTATACATTTATGTTTGTTTGTGCAAAGTCTTTCAATGTCTTGTTTATGTTGCTGGGTTGCCAAATGACTGGGTAGCTATCATTAATTGTCTAATTTGCAGTCATTGCATACATATATGATTTTGTCGTTTTCTTGTTTTGTTCTTCCACTTACCTAATAGCAGCATTCATTATACCTTGTGTATCAAATCTATTGGTCACAATAATTTTGTCTTCCAAAATTGTTTTACTTTTTCTTTTTTTTTAAATGACAGCCCCTCCAAGTTGTTCGTGTTCTAGTAATTGTTTGTTCCTTTACAAAATAGACGCGGCTATGCTTTAATAAGTAAGGTAGACAGACTTTAGTGATGACAGTGACCATTTGTTGTTCTGTAAATAGGTAGGCATATTGTTACCATTTATTTCGTAGAGACTAGAAATGTAAGATACTCATTGATGCATTAATTGTGGCTTCCATTGTGGTACTAGTGAATGTGTTAGGTTTAGGTAGTATTTTATGTCAAATGATTATTTCTCAGGAGATGTGTATCTTAGCATATGTTTGTATATTTTTTTATTTGTGTCATTATTGCGAACTTTCTTTTATATGTAAAAGAAACTTAATATTCTAGTTGGAAAGAATAATCATCGGCATACATATGCTTTTCTGAACTGCCAGATTTATACCAAAATCTGTGACACGTCAATATAGGTCATTTATGTGAAATTTGTGTCATATCAGTCAAATATATAGGTCATTTATGTGAAATCAGTCAAATAATATAGGTCATTAATGTGAAATCTGTCACATCATTGAAATATATAGGTCATTAATTTTGAAATCTGTGTCACATCAGTCAAATATATAGATCATTAATGTGAAATCTGTGTTAATCAGTCAAATATAAATTATTAACGGTAACGTGAAATCTGTCATATCAAATATATAGGCCATTAAAAATCAAAGATGTATTCTTTTCAATACTTCCTCCTATGTCAATCAATAACCCCACTGTTTAATGCTTGAATCCACAATAGATTAGCCTTACCTTAGCTAGCACATGTCTGGTGCTACATAATGTGTTTGTATTATAATTTGCTGATGTCATTATACATGTAGTGATAAATGTGTTGTTTAGATAGTGTATATTTCAAGCTATTTACTTAATGTCAGTGTTAATATCAGGGTAAAATTTATGCTATCTTCATTGATTTATTTTTCGTTTTCCAATGGATACTGTTTAAAATTCATTAGTAGCAATATATTTTATAATGCGGTCACGATTTGACAAAACATTTGTTCTGTGAATGACAATTCCTCAATATTTTAATTTATCATATCATAAAATCTTCAGTCAAAAGGTCAATTTCATTATTTGCTATTTCAACAATTATAAAAAACACGAAAGTTTAGTTTTAATGGGTTTTGCACAATAACTAAATAACCTAATGCATTGCTCTGTACGATTTGTATTACGTATTGTACTTAAGACATATACATCTGTAAATAGACTTTTTGTTGCTCCATACTTAGTGCTAATATGTTTGTAAATTTCATTTCCATGTGATATGTCCGATTTTTTTCCAAGATTAGCACATCTGCCATATTTAAAGCATCTCTGCCGATTGTTTGGAAGTAGTTTAGTCGTAAGGTTCAACATTTGCAACATAAGAGAAAATAAGCGGGTATCAATTTCACTTTGTATGGTATTGGGACCTTTTTGTATCTAATTACTTATGGTCAGTATTCCTTGCAAGGAAAATACATTTGGCAATTGAATTACTGATAGGAATATGCTCCTTTTCTGCCCGCATTATTTTATTTTTTTTATTTTGAAGGAGTCTTCCATTAGTGCTTTGTAATAGATACTGTATAGATTTATTGTTATCACACTGTAGCAATAGTTTGTGACTAAGACATCAGTCTGGTTGAAATTACATGATATCTTGCTCTTTGGTGAGCACAATTTCTTGTTATTTCTTAATGTTACGACCTTATTCAGTCCTCAAAATGCTTGTGATTGGATCATTGATACTGATCAAACCAGATGTAAAATATAGACACTGATGTCCAGTCACAAAATTATTAACATTGTGTTGGTGCCATTTGTTTGGTGTAAATGTGATAAACTTTCAGTATAATGATTTGAAGAGAACTCGTCGTTCTTACATTGAAAACTAAAACAGTTTCATTTTAAGAGGGTTGTCAAAAATTCTTTTTGTGTGTGCCAAATATGTTAAAACAGATTATGGTTGTGAGTTTGGATTTATCTGTTTTATAATCATAATTTAATTACTTTATGTTTGTTTCACCATATTTTGTTGATAACTAACCTTAGATATTTTTGTCATTTCGTTTTCATATTTTGTTAACTTCATAGCCATTACGATGATCAGGCTAACCTGTGTTTCTGGATTATAAGCATTAGGGTAATTGAATTCAGTTTTTGTCATTTTCAGGTCAGTAGCAGGGTTCAATAAAAAAAAAAAGATTGGATTCAATAATATAAGCCAAGTACCTTGAATAGCTGCCATTTTCTAATTGAAAAAAAAAAGACCGTTATCATCATGTTTCATCACGGTATAAAGTAAGGTTACCTGTCCACAACTGCCAAACTGTCTGAATAGTATTAACAGTATTAAATCAAATTTTCTTTTAAGAAAGTTGTTCATGTATTATAAGTTCTTCTCCTCAAATCTTTAGAATGATAATTTTGCATTTTGTATCCATGTATGCTACATTCTAAAATATGCTTCCGGGTTGTAAAACATTGTGCCAAAGAATTGATATCACTATGTTGTTTGGACATTCATGTATATTATGCATTTCTAGTTTAGACTCTTCTTTATTTTATAGTTACTGTTACTATACATTTTATATCCACAGTATTCATTGAACAGTATATAAAAGCATGCAGAAGTATAGCATTTTCGTGTCAATAACATCATATGTACATGTATACATATATAGTAGTGTATAGTACATCTTTTAATATGTGCATCAATGTCATGTAATACATTGTGGATTCCAGATTACAGGGCCATGGCAATCCCTACTTTTCTAAAAACTAGTAAACTTGTACATCTACTAGTATTAAAGTAAAAGTAGGGACAGATAGCAAAAGAACCAGTTTCAAATAAGTACACGATAATAATGCATATCTTAGATTTCAGAAGGTATCTAAGGGAATCTATAGCCATTCTCTCAATTTTAATAAATTGTCTGGTAGATTTTAGAAGGTATCTAATGGAATCTATAGCCATTCTCTCAATTTTAATAAATTGTCTGGTAGATTTCAGAAGGTATTTAAGGGAATCTATAGCCATACTCTCAGTTATTAAAACATTGCCTGGAAATAAGACGAGAGCTTCTGAATCCTGGTTTCCACAAAGTTTATCCTTCTTTTTGCTTGTTTGCCGACATGTTTTGTAATCTTGACAGGCTGTTGGATCATGATACAGCACAACTTTCAATGACTGCTACTTGATATGTTATTGGTCCTTTTGAATAGGAACATTAGACAATACTATAACGTCATCAGTAAGTTATTTAGTATACAATTCATTGGTAACATATTTATGATGTCATAATATTGTCTTTTGTTCCTTAAATCACACGGCGTGCTTGTCACTCCAACTACGTCATGTAACAGAACTAGATTAACTGTGGCACCAAAGGACGACAAAGTGAATAATATACTTTATGAAAACCAAACTTCAGGAGTTACAGCTGTTCTCTTTACATATTTTGAAGTACACCTCTACTTTTACGTTCACCATGTAAATAATAAAACACCTGTACCAATAATGGAGTTTAAATTTACCTACTCTACCAACATGTAAACCTAATTAGTGGACCTATATGTAAACATGCCTGTGTAATTACCTTTAGATTTAACTGTGTACCTATATGTAAACTTGAATTACCTGTATTCCTATATATTAAACTTTATTGAAAACTTAACTGTGTACCCATATGTAATCTTACCCGTGTACCTATATGTACTTACCTGTGTATCCGTATGTAAATTTACCTGTGTATCCATGTTATTTTACCTGTGTACCCATATATAATTTTACTCATGTACCCATATGTACTTACCTGTGTACCCATATGTACTTGCCCGTCTACCTAAATGTACTTACCTGTGTACCCATATGTACTTACCTGTGTACCCCTATGTAATTTTACCTGTGTACCTATATGTGAACTTACTTAGTATGTACAGATGTTCCCACTATAATAGGGTTTACTGTAAACAAGTCGACCAGCAAGTCAACACTAATACTAGATACTCTGTATACTGGACTTGTACGCGATGTTCCCCATGTACACTTTTTTTCGCCTAGAACTCCATATTAACATACATGTCTCCTACGTAATACTCTTTGAGCTATTCCATTATTGAAATGTTTTCGAAGTTTCTTTCGTAACCATACTGTGTAGCGTTGTTTATGTACATGCACTTAAATTTGGTTCATCAAAATATTGCCCAGTAAATGTCACTTGTCTACGATAAAATTCAATTTTAGTAGAATAATGTGTACCGACTGTGTAATGATATGTACCCAGTTGGAAAAAAAAATGTCCAGAAAGTATTACACTAGTCGATTTGTCTACCAAGCTTCCCCTGTAATTCTTTGCAGTACTCAGTACACCTGTTCTCATCTTGTATACCGTTACCATTATCATATGTGTAACATAAAACCCCAGACAACCATTCCACTTTCTGTATACACATAGGATTCACTCATTAAACTTGTCCAAAATAACTGACTATCTCATTTAAAAAAAAAAATGATGGGGCTGGGGTAGACTATCTCCACCAAATAAAAAAAAAATGAAAAGGAGATAGTCAGCTATTTCTGACTATCATTAAGCATGGATACATTGTACATATTGTAAATATGAAATAGTGTTATGAGGCTATAAACCCCAGCATGAACCTTTTACAGTACTTTCTGAACCAGACTCTTTGTCTAATCCAGATTTTGTGTAAACCAGCCGAAGATTTCCCCCATAACTGGCAAAAGAAATGCATAACAAGTACACTATCTACAATCTGTTACTCTCTGAAACGGACCAAATCATGTCCTCCATGGATTGTCTGGTTTACACAGAGTACACTGTACATATCTATTCCGTTCTCCATCACTACTCTGTTTTACCCAAGTGTGTAGCAGATAAACTTGCATATAAACTATTGTATGTACTGTGAAGATTGCTAGCATGCTTTTATCTATTTCCTTGGTCTAATTACTAATATGAAAATATTTTACACAGGGTAGATTTATTTCTTAGGTATTATACAAAATCAAATCATGACTATCAATATTGAATTCTTCGCATCCCTGTGTTAATCTACCTATTTCATAAATCAGTATTGCCAATCCTGGTAAATGTAAATCAGTCATCAAAAAAGAACCATTTCATATTGAATGCTCATAGGCAATCACTTACTGATATTGTACAAATTAGGGTGACTTTACAATAGTTACATGTACAATGTACAAGCCGATATTAACTTGTGAAACTTTACTTTATTTTCCATAATGATAGATAAGCAATGAACACTTTTGTTCTCCGAGCTAAACATTTTTTGTTGTTTTTTATTTTGTGCAATGGTATGCTGTTTTAGTATTTTCTGTTTTTAGAATGTACTTGACAAAGTTGTTTGGTACTTCAAATAATGATGTAAAACCGTAAATACAGGGCATTATCATTTTTTTGTAAGTTTTGTACTGCTGGTTAAACATATTAAAACATTTTATAGTAATTTGACTTGTTGTTTTTGTGTACGTGTCTCGACAACATGCTGTAATGCATGTTTCTGCGTCATTTGATATGTATTACATAATACAGATGGTCAGCATTACTGATTTCGTTTTACAGAGTTTGATATGCATGAATTCATAAATGAAAGAGCCTGTTATATTTTGATATTGCTTATGGTGTTGGAGACTTGTCAATTTTTGGAGTTCTACAAGATTTTTTCCTACATTAACAAACCGTTTGCATACCGTACTTGTCAACTCTCTCTATTTAGGAGGGAGACTCCCGATTTTGGACCCTTAAATTGAGTGTTTTCAACCAGTGAATTTGCTTAGGGGGTGTATATACACATTTAATTTATATATTTTTTAATTTTGAGCATGCAGTATCTCCCCATGGAAATTTCAAAAAGTTGGGAAGTATGCATTTGTTTCAACACTGAAGTATTTTGCACTGGTAGTTTTCTATAAAATAAATTTTTAAACGGATATAAGTTCCAGACTGATTGGGAAGCAACCTATACAAAATAACAAGAGGCCCATGGGCCTTAACGGTCACCTGAGTCTACAGTATTTATTTTTGTTGTTGAAATATGTACCAATTTGAGTAAAAAATAGTGTAATGTTAACTTAACTTTGTCAGGACCATGAGCTGATCATTCCTATACCAATTTTAAGTGAGATCGGCCTATTAGAACTTAGTAGCAAAATAGCGGCCATGGCAGCCAAATTGTATTTCTGATTGACCCGAAAAATAACAACACTTTGTCAGGACCATGATTCGATCATTCCTACAAAGTTTCAGTTCAATCGGCCAAGTAGATCTTTACTTTAAGTTTGAAATAGTTTTTCAAAATGGCAGCCGTGGTGGCCATATTGGATTTCTGATCGACCCGAAAAATAACAACACTTTGTCAGGACCATGAGTCAATCATTCCTACAAAGTTTCAGTTCAATCGGCCTAGCAGAACTTGACTTTAAGTTTGAAATAGTTTTTCAAAATGGCGGCCGTGGCGGCCATATTGGATTTCTGATCGACCCGAAAAATAACAACACTTTGTCAGGACCATGAGTCGATCATTCCTACAAACTTTCAGTTCAATCGGCCCAGCAGAACTTGACTTTAAGTTTGAAATAGGTTTTCAAAATGGCGGCCGTGGCGGCCATATTGGATTTCTGATCGACCCGAAAAATAACAACACTTTGTCAGGACCATGAGGCGATCATTCCTACCAACTTTCAGTTCAATCGGCCCAGCAGAACTTGACTTTAAGTTTGAAATAGGTTTTCAAAATGGCGGCCGTGGCGGCCATATTGGATTTCTGATCGACCCGAAAAATAACAACACTTTGTCAGGACCATGAGGCGATCATTCCTACCAACTTTCAGTTCAATCGGCCCAGCAGAACTTGACTTTAAGTTTGAAATAGGTTTTCAAAATGGCGGCCGTGGCGGCCATATTGGATTTCTGATTGACCTGAAAAATAACAACACTTTGTCAGGACCATGAGGCGATCATTCCTACCAATTTTCAGTTCAATCGGTCTAGCAGAACTTGACTTTAAGTTTGAAATAGGTTTTCAAAATGGCTCAGGTGACCTAAAAATTGAATTTAACCCATTCACCCCTAAACTTAAGTCGCATTTGAACCTTACCAAAGACTGGGAAAGTCCAGTATTTATGTAGGGGTGAATGAGTTGAGCAGAGAGGAAAGATCTAGACTGAATGCAAATCAACATACACAACACATTTAACCAGAGATGACAGATTGAGAAGTAAAAGATAGCAACTTCTACAGAGATGACAGATTGAGAAGTAAAAGATAGCAATTTCTACAGAGATGACAGATTGAGAAGTAAAACATAGCAACTTCTACCAGAGATGACAGATTGAGAAGTAAAACATAGCAACTTCTACCAGAGACTATAAACACCTTGACTGAAAGCAGTGTTACATACACAACACATTTAACCAGTGATGACAGATTGAGAAGTAAAAGATAGCAACTTCTACAGAGATGACAGATTGAGAAGTAAAACATAGTAACTTCTACCAGAGACTATACACACCTTGACTGAAAGCAGTGTAATATAAAATGTTTCATAGGAGATAACAGACTGATTGGGAATCAACAAACAAACAAGTGTAACCAAAGATGACCGATCAAGAGATTGGGAATAAACAAATATGCAAGATCATTGTAGTAAACATGTTTTACTGGTAATTAGGCTGTATAATTGAAGCTTTGTGGCAACGTTTTAATTATATATGAGGGTACAGTTTGCTACAAACAATTTTTTCATTTTTATGAAACAGCTTTTTGAAAAATCAATTAGGAATAGGACACAAGTTTCGAATTACCACTAGAATAATGTTTCCTAAATTTAAAGGAAAAAATATGACACGGTAGGAGGTTTCCCAAACGACCACAATGTGAATTTCAAGTTTTTGCGATCAATTTCATGGAAATTTTGTGAATAGATATATGCAATGTGCAAAATAAGTAAGTAAAGCCCTTTTCAGCAAATCCAAATCAAATTTTAACTGCATTGAATTTTCTGGGTAAGTGCACAGATTACACACAAACTAGCTTTCACTCACTGACTTGACAGGGAAACACAAAATGGTGGTAATTTTTGTAAAAAAAAAAGAACGTCATCCATGTGTACTCGTTTTACAAATCTCTGTCACCAAAGCAAAAAATCCTTGTATATAATGCGATTGCAATTTATTTTTTCAAAGTTTGACTACATAATATGCAATCTTTTAATTAACCAAACAAAATGTTAAGCAAATCCACTTGTGATTTGTACTGGTGAAGAGTATAATGAAAATAGAGGAAATGTTTCAACCCACCAACAAATGGGTGTTTTAATTCATGATCAATATTATGGCATTTTAATCCTCTAGACACAAGGTTCTTTCCTAGTAATTTGAGAAAGTATTATACTTATGTCTTTTGGTCTTTACTGCATTAATGTTGTGATGTCTGTTTCTACTACTTGTTTACATATTGACCTACAAAGATCTGGAATGCCGTCACAATCTAATGGCCCCAGTTGATTTATGATTTTCTCTGAATCCAGACACTTCAACAAAACCAGAGTTTCTTTAATTGCTGCTACAAGCTCTGCCTTGACCCCATCTGAAATTGTCAGATTTTCGTCCATTGACAGGTCGCACAAACATTTGACCAGCATTTTCAGAATACTGTTACTGTAACGAGGAATTCTAGGCCAACAGCATCTGATGATCTTCTTTAACAAGTCAACCATGCTTAATCTAGCCTCTTCACATGGGCCATCTGATATCTCAAGGAAATTTCCAATCACTTTTAAAGTGTTACTGAGGTAACGAATAGCAGATATTCCCATGATTTCCACAAAACTGTGCAAATGCCGAGTATATATTCTCCTCAGAGTCAAAATGTTTTCCCCTTCTGCATTTTGAAGTAGTTGCTGGTATATTTCATCATATCTAGTCACTGGTCGTCCGTTCTCTCCAGCTTGAGGATTTTTTTCAACAACTTTTAATATAGACAGTATAGCTGGAATGGTTTTGGCTAAAAGTGGTGGTTCTGTTGTGTAGAGCTGATGCCGCAGTGCCGCTAGAATTACCTCCCCTCGCCCATACCAACGTAACTCTTCTGCAGACACATTGTTTATGATATGCATCAGACAGGACACTCCACTGACTTTATTTTCCAACATGTAGTCATCTGTGAACAGAAGAGCAGGTGGCAATACACTCTCCAAGGATTCACTTAAAGTTGGAAACAAAGTATGAGTCAAACACCACACAAACACAGACTTTGCTCCAGGATTTTTCTTCCATGTTTCCCTCTGTAATTTCAATCTGAGTAACTGCAAAATTTTGTAAAGTAATGTTGACTCAACCCTTTCAATTTCATCATTTGGAACTAAGTGGCATTGCAACAGTTTAGCATTTTCTTCAACATTGAAAAGCTCACATAAACAACAAAGCAGGCTTTCCGCTGACTTGTTCGAACTGCTTGTAGTCCAAAGTCTTTCCTCTACGTGGTCCAATGCTATGATCGTTGCAGTTGGGCAAATATCGCAAATTAACTTGAAAGCATGCGTGTCTTTATTCCTCAAAGCTCTAAGACGATGGAGTAAAACTATCACAAACGAAATAGTTTTCTCTGCATAGGATGCAACGCAAGGAAAGTCATTGACATCAAATGCATAATGTTCCTTGTTTTGAAAAGTTGGCACAAATACGGAACTTATGACTTCATGTATTTTTTTGTGCAGGTCGGTCCCATCTTTCTGTTGAAAGCTTCCAATAAGCCATTCGTCATCACATTCTTTTAGGAGACAGGTAACAATTTCCACATGGATACTAAGATTTTCTTTCTTTTTGAATTGTCTAAGAAATTTCAGAATATCATGGAGTGTGTAGCGCGACCATATTTTAGAGAAATTGTGTCTACTTTCACTTTGATCGCTGCTTCCTAGGAAGCCACCAAACAACGTGTTCAATCCCTCCATACATATAATCAGAGTCGCATCAGCAGGTATGATTATTCAATGGTTATTTCAATAACTAAACATTGGCAATTATCTTGAAGACTTACAAAGCATCCGATACATCCAGCCCGTTCAGTACACACACACATGGGTATAGCACATGGAGGCCGCCATGACTGTGACTTGCTAATATTAAAACCGGAAGCGGAATGTCCGGATTGTTCCGGATATATATATTATATCCTTTCTGTGGCAATCTGCTTAAAATCATCGGTTACATGGCTCCGTTAACAGACGGAGCTATGTAACAGATGATTTTAATGAGATTGTTTCTGTGGCAGTTTCATATAATAAAAAGGAATACAAAAATATACAAAATATACATCTTTATATATTCGCGAATCATAATTTAATACTTCAGAAAATACACCGATACCGACAATGAGTAATACTGAAGACTATCGTAAGTGTCTTACTAGACATTTCTTGTTGAGGGGCCGTGTGTTGTAGTGTCCCCTGGTACGTTGTTTTATGAGTGTAGTGTCCTTTAGAAGGTTTTATGATGTTGAGGTGTACGTCAAGCCAAACGTTTTGTGATGAGTGTAGTGTCCAGTTAAACGTTTTGTGATGAGTGTAGTGTCCAGTTAAACGTTTTGTGATGAGTGTAGTGTCCAGTTAAACGTTTTGTGACGAGTGTAGTGTCCAGTTAAATGTTTTGTGACGAGTGTAGTGTCCAGTTAAACATTTTGTGATGAGTGTAGTGTCCAGTTAAATGTTTTGTTACGGGTGTATAGTGTCCTGTGGGATGTTTTATGATGAGTGTAGTGTCCAGTTGAATGTTTTGTTATGAGTGTAGTGTCCAGTAAGACGTTTTGTGATGAGTGTAGTGTCCAGTTAGACATTTTGTGATGAGTGTTGTGTCTAGTAAGACATTTTGTGATGAGTGTTGTGTCCAGTTAGACATTTTGTGATGAGTGCAGTGTCCAGTTAGACATTTTGTGATGATTGTTGTGTCCAGTTAGACGTTTTGTGATGAGTGTAGTGTCCAGTTAGACATTTTGTGATGAGTGTTGTGTCCAGTAAGACGTTTTGTGATGAGTGTAGTGTCCAGTTAGACATTTTGTGATGACTGTTGTGTCCAGTTAGACATTTTGTGATGAGTGTTGTGTCCAGTAAGACGTTTTGTGATGAGTGTTGTGTCCAGTTAGACATTTTGTGACGACTGTTGTGTCCAGTTAGACGTTTTGTGATGAGTGTAGGGTCTAGTAAGACGTTTTGTGATGAGGGTGTTGTCCAGTAAGATGTATTGTGATGAGTGTAGGGTCCAGTAAGACATTTGTGATGAGGGTAGTGTCCAGTAAGACATTTGTGATGAGTGTAGTGTCCAGGAAGACATTTGTGATGAGTGTAATGTCCAGTAAGACGTTTTGGGATGAGTGTTGTGTCCAGTAAGACGGTTTGTGGTGAGTGTAGTGTCCAGTCAGACGATTTGTGATGAGTGTTGTGTCCAGTTAGACGTTTTGTGATGAGTGTAGGGTCTAGTAAGACGTTTTGTGATGAGGGTGTTGTCCAGTAAGATGTATTGTGATGAGTGTAGTGTCCAGTAAGTCATTTGTGATGAGTGTAGTGTCAAGTAAGACGTTTTGGGATGAGTGTGTTGTCCAGTAAGATGTATTGTGATGAGTGTAGGGTCCAGTAAGACATTTGTGATGAGGGTAGTGTCCAGTAAGACTTTTTGGGATGAGTGTTGTGTCCAGTAGGATGTTTTGTGATGAGTGTAGTGTCTAGTAACACGTTTTGTGATGAGTGTGTTGTCCAGTAAGATGTATTGTGATGAGTGTAGTGTCCAGTAAGACATTTGTGATGAGTGTAGTGTCCAGTAAGACGTTTTGGGATGAGTGTTGTGTCCAGTAAGATGTTTTGTGATGAGTGTAGTGTCCAGTAAGACGTTTTGTGATGAGTGTTGTGTCCAGTAAGACGTTTTGTGATGAGTGTAGTGTCCAGTAAGACGTTTTGTGATGAGTGTGTTGTCCAGTAAGACGTTTTGTGATGAGTGTGTTGTCCAGTAAGACGTTTTGTGATGAGTGTGTTGTCCAGTAAGACGTTTTGTGATGAGTGTGTTGTCCAGTAAGACATATTGTGATGAGTGTTAAGTGTTCTTGCTGTGTAGGACGTTTTTTGATGGGTGTATTATCCTGCAGGAGGATTTTTTTTATATATAATAAGTGTATCGTCCTGTTAGATGTCTTTTGATTAGCGAAGTTTACTTTAGGACGTTTAATTTTGTGGCATGACGTTAGCAATTATGCATCTCCCATTACATGGTGAGTAACTGTAGCAAGACATTGCGTTACACAAGGTATTTCATTTAATGCCTCGATAGTAAGGAAATACAATATATAACATTTCACAATGTCCCGTCTGTCCTTGAAGTCAATGGCAAATCAACTGGCGATAGACATTATACAGTATACTGTTTTTAAATAACTTCTAAAAAGCCTGAAACGGTTTAATGAAAAAATCAAAGATGAATGCATCATCATTATACAGTCTGTACCTTATGGTCAAGGTTACACAAAGTGGTTAAAGGGCAAGTCTGTTTAATGCTTATTCGGACAAAAACGTACGAACTGAAACAGATTTTATTTGATTTTCATAGTTTGGTTTATCATTACAGACCGGTGTGTTACGTACAACTCAATAGTCGTACACCAATACCATGATCATAACAATAAGTCAGAGTTTGAAGCTGATGCTTTGGCTTGCTTTCCTGGACAATGTGCTTTTCCTCTGAATTTGTATCTTCCTGTATGGATGAATGTGTATTGACTACATACCACTCTTGTGTCTGTACCATGGTCCTAAGGTCAAGATAACAGCAAGTGGTTCAGGAGAAAATTATTCTCAATCTATCTTTTCTGTGCATAACTTTCTTTGGACATTTTATATTGTGATACACAATGAACTATGTTGTACGTAACTCTCTACCTACAGCTCAGAGCATTGTGTTGAGCCATTTTGAAGCTTACATAGGTACTGCTTCTCTGATTAATACCCTTTTAACAGTAAAACTGCCACTGATGGATACATCATCATCATGCCAAGTCTATACATCTCAGAAACACCTCAGTATGTCTTAGTGAATAACTGTAACATGTTCATTTGGATATATATTCCACTGATAATGTTAAGTTGACAGATATTGAAGTTCATATGTATCTGATCTCACATGAGTTTCCATTTCATATGAGTTTTATGAAACGAGTCTAAGAATTTTTTAATTTAGCGAGAGTCTGGTGAGCTAAAATGAAAAAAATCGTGACGAGTTTCATAAATTTCATATGAAATGAAAACAAGTGTAAGATCCTTTTTATCACATAATCAAGATTTGTGGCATTAATTCGTGTAAAACGACCATTTTCATGCAACCCTGAAATGTAAAAAGCCGCCATTTTAACTCCAGTGCATAAGTCTGTGACGTCATGTACCTGTCCTAGGCGTGACGTCACAATTCAAACTTACAACCAATCACAGGGCTGATAGGTCATATTACATGGGTTAATACGCAAAACAAATATGACATGGATATATTCACTGGATAACAAAGTACATTATGTGATAAAAACTTTTAAGTAGAACCATGCGGACAGAATAGGTAAACACTGCCACTTTGGTGATTTGGGACTTAGAATAATCAGGAAATATTTCTTTTTGTTTTTTACCTTTATTTATTTTCATAAAAATAGCATCATGCTGTTGTACACTTGGTCTACATCATAAAACCAACAAAAGCAATGTCGAACAGTTTCAGAAATAGAAACTGATCCATGATGACATGGATGTAACAGGATTTTATAGACAGCTTTATTTGATAAAGTACATAATGATAATAAAAGAAATTGCTAGAAAATGTATAACTTCATGTTCATTCACTTTTTTTTTAAATCCTTTGCTTCAATGTTTCTAATTCTACATATTGCTGATGTATTTTAAAATATGATGGTGAAAATAAAATGACACTTGATTCTTAAACTGATGTTTATTTCTAAATCAGTATCACGTATATATCATTTGCTCACATATTCGGATATTTGCTCACATTCAAACAGAATAAAAATTTCAGTTACTTGCTGAAAATTTCCACAAAACATATTGACACTACTTAATAATAATACTCTTTTAATGCAACTTAGATATGTTTAAAGAAAAAGAAATAAACTCAATTAGACCAGGTCCATCTTCACTCCAATATAAAATGCTCCATGAAGTTTCCTCATTATATATAATATATATAAGTACCCTTACATGAATTTAGAAATTATGCATCAGTATCATAAATGTTCTGTAACCTTGTTAATTTTTTTCTTTCACTAAAGCTAATAGGGAAAATTAAGATTAGAACCTGTAGGATTTTTTGTGAAACTGGATCTAACAAAGTGGCTAGAGCCATTTATCTAGTCATTGTGCTAAACTCTTCAGTTTTTATATTGAACAGATTCAAGATTTATAGAAACTACAACTTGTTAATCCTTTATTGTTAATATCTTTATTATACAACTTTTCTGCATCTAAAGACATAAGGTGTGTATTCCTTTTATACATAACCATGTTCACCAGATAAATAATTGACTTGTAAGTCTTAAAACAGTCTACCATGTAACATGAAATGCCCAATGAACATTTAAAAGTACCTTTACATTTTTTTTACTATAACTGTGGATTCAAAGTTTATGAATACATTTATAGACATTACAGGAATGATTTAACTGACTCAAGTTCCAACATACCAGCTGCAGACAGCAGAAAGCTAATCAGCAGAATGATATGTAAAATGTAAATACTGTACTTAAATAGAAGTACTCATGGAGGTTCAAGTTCTACAATATTATGTACAAGTACGATGTATTTTTCTTCTCTTTCAGTATTTAACACATGTATACCAGGTAAAAATATTGTCTGAACTCACAGTTAATCATTTTACCACGACATTGTCAAAACTGATAACAACACAACACACATAGGTACGCTTTCATAACGAACCCTAAGTAACAAATGTAAGGAAATGCATCATTATATGAAAATTTGATAGTGTGATCTTCACAAGATAACTCTTTTGTTGGGGTACACCACAATGACTTTGCTAGGAACATACAACCAGTGCGACACAGTGCAGTAAATGTGTTCTACGTTTAAGCTTAAGGTGGTAAAATCTTGCAAGGAAAATACATCAAAACTGGCATTCTCCCAATCTTCTTGCACCGAAATACTGTCAACGTACATATTTTATTGGTTGTCTTATTTCAGTGCTTGTCATTATTGCGCTAAATCATGAATGCACGAATTGGAGTTCTTGTATTGTTTTCTATTGCATGTTTTTGGGATGTGCTAATCTATCAATGCGCTAATCTATTAAAATTTAATGATTTGAGTGCATGAAAATAAGTACATTTTCAGTATTATACTCCAAAATAATCTTGGCAACATTTTAATAAAAAGTCCTTATTATTCTCAAGATTTTGTCATTCATTACAATAAAACATCAAAAACATTAAGACAATTTTGCTTAGTATCATGTGATTATTATAAAAGCGCATATACCACTGTAAAATGGGATCAATTTTATCTGTATGAAAACTTAGCAATGGAAATATACAAAACTGATGTATCTATTGTAAAACTCACATGATAATCAAGAGATTTGAGATTGACATAAAGTTTACAAAATTGCCACATTCTAACAGTTCCAGTAGAACAGGTGTCCGCCTGATTATCGATTCTATCCTCCATAACAAAATGAAAGAAATAAAACAACAAAGTATAAATTTGACTCCATGTTCTCATAAAATAGCTTTCCGATGGTAGTCTGGAGGGGCCACAATAAAGTCATTCATACTCAGCAGGGTGGCGGAGTTTTTCTGCATGTACCTAGAACAGATCAGAGAAAGAATCTTAATAATACAAGATCGATTATATCCCCAAGGAAAATGCATGATGTGGTGATTTTTTCATCTGAATTTCCTACTTCTGTTTTTTTATTTTTATTTATTGCTCCTTCCAAGTGAGGAAGTCTTTTGACCAACTGACTTGAATAGCAAATTACTATTAGTAATGTGTAAACGAGATTTCATCTCTTCCTTCTCATAATGTTCAACATAAGGTATGCAGAACTAAGAAACAGGAGAATCTACTGATGTTTGAAAAATAGCAAAGACAAATTCCATGGTCAAATTCAAGATGTCTTCCTGGAGGCCATCTTATTTTTTAACTATGAATAGAGAGGAACCTAGATAGAAAGTTTCAATAAGATCCCACAAGTTCTTTCTGAAAAATAGAGATTGTCTTAAACTGTCAAATTTCAAGAAGAACAAACCAGAAACAGAACAAGGAAGAACCAGTACAAATGGGAGGCAAAATAAGTCCGCATTTACTTTTCTTACCTGTATACGTACTGTACTTCAAAACTAGTGTCAGTATGAGAACTAAACAGGTAGCTGATAAATAACTGATAACATGAAACAATATCACTCATGTTACAAGAATTAGTGGTTATCACCAGTGTTTACCTCAAGAAATCCTGTAGGTGGGTAAGTAGAAGTTGGATACTTTTCTCATCCAGTGATGTATAGGCTAGCATACCTCCAAGTTTTACTGTTAAGAAACAAAACAAAATCAGTTATCATATGCAAATGATTTCCTTTCAAAAATGAAATTCAAAAACTAACACAAAATCTATTAAAATTGACATCTGAATTTGAAAAGTTTATAATTAATATAATATAAAAAAAAATCAAATCACAATTGATTCTGTTTAATTTTAAATTAAGAAATGCTTAAAACGTCAGTGAATTGTTTTGAAGTATCATTAATATCCTGAATCTTATTCAAGAAATTAACAACAAAATATTGGCTTTTATTTCTTTTGTTTTGAAAAAAATAAGGCTGGCATGGTTAGAAATTTCATGCTTGGTTAATTAATTGTTGCTAACCATACACCGCCACCAGGGACTTGGAAATTGTGTGTCGATACTTAAGAGGTAGCTGATGAGTTGTTAATGTATTTAATGATAATGAATAGGAACTGAAGCCGACTATGATGAGGAATATTTGCTTAAAAATCTTTTTTTCTGTAACCTAGTTATGGTGAGTGACAAACCAATGAAGTATTAGTATTGTGGTCCAGGAACAAGTCTCATTATTGTTTGGTGGAGTGCATCTCACAGGTAACTGTGACCTATAAGGCATCCTAGTTTCCTTATCAGTTCAAACCTTCACTATGCATATCGATGGACCACGAGATGACTGTCTGTTGACCATCTTAGTTTTCTAAACAGTCCCAAAATTTGTTATGCTTAACTGGGGCCCATGGGGAACCTTGGTGTGAAATTTAATTAAGATCTCTCCAGTTTTTTTCTAAGAAATGGTGCTAACAACATCACAGATGGTGGGCTAATGATCTAGTGTGACTGATAAAATGGAAAGGAATCCAGATTATATTGTGACATTTCAAAGGAGACAAAAGATAAAGAGCCAAGTTGGGGGAACTGAAGCCTTTACAAATGATCTGGAAAAGCCACACCCCCACCCCCCAACATTCACCAAAAATTCTTGATCATATGATATTGATAAATCTTTTCATGGATCATTCTTTTTATTTCTACAGAGGCTCACTAAAATGAAAACTTCTTCTTAGTTAGAATCATTTTACAACTCTCATAAGATAATGAGACAGAAACTCAAATAATATATATATATACATCAACAGATCTTTTGTAACTATCATTGTACCACAAACAGTGCTTTGTTAAAGTCCCTGTCAGTATGTCATTCAGAACCATGTTCTAGTCTCTACATACAGACTACAGATACATTTTCCAGTGGCACTCAGGTTATAGGTTCCACTATTGTGCGATTTGTATTCATTATTTTTTTGTTTTTAAATCAGGTTTATGGTCCTCACAACAGCTAGGTCATATATAAAGATGGAACCTGTTAATCAAACAATAGTGATTATTAGATGCCATACGTACTATAAAGGCCGTCTTTCCTAATCGACAAATGTATATACTTAAAATATAAGTCAATAGAATAATGCACAGAACTGCAATATGTGCACAATAACAAGTGAAACATGTTAATGATTAGTGACAAAGGATGGTTAAAGAGAAATATAACTGAAAAATAAAAGCAGAACTACATCAGTACATGTAAATAATATGTCCTATAAAATGGAAATAATCAAATGAGTTCTACCTTTGATGGCAACTGAAATGACATATTACAGAAATATTCAGCAATCTTGTTAAAAGAGTTAGAAAAGTTTGCACACAAAAAATGCCCTTGGAAATAATCAAATTTTGCGATTCAGGTACTAATCAAAGAAAAAAATATTCCAACTGAAAGACTAATGATTGGTATCATTCATGAGTCTTGCAGTTGGAATATTTTTTTCTCTGATTAGTACCTGAATTTTTTATTTTTTGTTTTTGTGTTTTAGGTCCTATCAACAGCTATGGTCATTTAAGGATGTGCTAGATATTGATGGTGGAAGAAAGCCAGAGTTCCCGGAGAAAAACCTCAAACCGGCGGCCAGTACCTGGCAACTGCCCCACGTAGGTCTCGAACCCGCGACCCAGTGGTGGAGGGCTAGTGTTAGCAGAATGTCAGATGCCTTAACCAATTGGCCACCGTGGCCACTCATTCATAAAACATGTTCAACTGAACTTTTCTGTGGGTGTCTCGAACCCGCGACCCAGTGGTGGAGGGCTAGTGGTAGCAGAATGTCAGATGCCTTAACCACTTGGCCACCGCGGCCACTCACTCATAAAACATGTTCAACTGAACTTTTCCAAGGAAATGTAATCCTGATTCAAATCAGTAGTAAAACCCAGCAAGATAGTAGTTTCTACTTTCAGCTCTCTGGATACCAGGGTAGGAAGGGAGAGAGAACTTGCTTTCTTACATTGGATTACACAAACGCATTGCTAATGCTGCTCTAAAATTAGTCAAAACAAAAAAGCATTATTAGGGCTGTCTAACTTTGAAAAGCAAAAACAACAGAAGTACCCAGGATTTGAGATAAAACTGTTTCTTGTTCATTTCTATGCCATACAGTGAGGTGACTTGACCTTGAAAGTTTCACCTCAAGCAACTTACCAAAAAGACGTAGAAGATGGACAGCACCATATATGTTGGTCATAGGTTTGTCTGAGTGTTCCTTTACAATCTGTAACCGTCACAAATAACAAAACACTGAGAGTAATGGATACATTACAACAAGATTTGAAAATCACTGAACAAAAAAAGCAAAAGATTACAGAGAAAGCTTAGCAATCACCATTGTAAGATGTTCATTGGTTCTAGGTATTTTAAGTTTGATTTCCCCCATCTTTCCTATTCATCAGTTTATTTTTTTTGTTCATGCAATCATACTGCTGTGTTTTAAAGAATGTTTGACCTATTTACTAGCATGGTAATTGATGTGCAAAAGAATTTTAGCTGTAACTTGATAACACAAAGAAAGCTGACCACTGTATTGGTCCTGTTACCTGATAACACAAATAAAGCTGACCACTGTATTGGTCCTGTAACCTGATAACACAAGGAAAGCTGGCCACTGTATTGGTCCTGTTACCTGATAATACATTGCCTACCAATCGAAATATCAATAACATATTAATAACTTAATATTCTCCTGTTGCTAGTAAAAAGTATCTTTATAATGTATATTATAAAAGCAAGATACCTTACTCCGCTTGTTCCAGTCTACTCAGCTGTAAATGAGTATATGGTTGGGCAGTGCTAGAATTGTTGAATGCTAGCTATTAGCGCCGAAATGGCAGCTCCGGCTGTATGCTTTCCAGGTAGTTGAGAAAGATATTGGCTAGTTGCAAAGGCCCTGTAACCACGGATAATAATTTGTGAACCACTTTGAGACGACCTACGAACTAGGTTGTGATAAAGCGGTATATAAGAACCTCAAACTTTTATTATTATATTATTATATATCATTGTTACAGTAAATCTCTGTTACCATGGACTCACCTCACCGTACTGTGGTCTTTCAAATTTGTAGAGAAGTTGTGTGCCGAGCATGACATTGAAATACTCTCGGATTCCTTGGGTTACCTCAATGATTGCATCTCTGAAAACACCATTAACAAACAGGTGATTCACGACTCACTGTATATAATGTATCCTCCAGATAATTCCATCCACACTCTCCTTTACTTAACACTAGAAAGTAATTCTAATGCAAAAAAAAATCTCAAAAAATGAATATATTAACTTTTTTTTTACTTTTTTTTGTACTGTGGCCTGTTTTAATCACAAAAAGATTGAGACGAAATAAGAAAATTTGCAACTGAAGACTTACTTGTTACAAGTACTTCCCTTGGTGGTCTTGCTTCTCACATAATCGTCCAGAATATTGTCAACTGTTGCTTTACAGGGAAGCGACACCAACTGAAACATGAATGATAATCAACATGGGCTCTCAAAGATTTAACTCATTGATATGTTAAAGCAAAAGAAAATCTTAATTTCTTTATTGGGTTTAATAATCATGAGTTTTTGAAAATAAAACTTTTTAACCTCACAATAAATGTGTCATTGTTCTTACACTTTAAGATTTCTTTGATCTCAAACCAAAACAAAATTGGCCATCTGCGCATTAAAGCCAGTTTGGTCTCTGTGGAGTAAAACATATAGATAGATATTACAACACATAATTTGAACTGAAATTTGGAAGTTAAGGACAAAAAACTGCTTGGTGGGCACATTTATACTTTAAATACACGTAAGATACTGTATATTTGACCTGCGTTACCAACCTGTTTTTGTCGTGTTATGAGATCCCAGTCATCCACTAACCAAGGTTTTAGTTCATCAGGTATCTTTATTTTCACTTCTACCTTCGCTAAATAAGCTTCTTCCTGTAAAAAACAATTATTCTCAGTTTGTTTTCTTCAGTCAGATCCACGTTATTCAGTTTTTCCACGTTATTCAGTTTTTCCACGTTATTCACTTTTGCCGTAGTAACACATTTCTACACTACACCAGATTTCTGGAATCTGGCAGCATCTCCAAGGGATCACAAAGAGACTTAATTACATCAATATGAAATTCAAATAACCGAAAAGTAGGATCTTACAATGTACATGAATTAACATTTAAATGATATTTAATAAAGGAATCTGTGAAGTTTTCATTTTAGTAAGCCTATTTCAGCATATATGAAATATTCATTGCAGTTTTCATGAACATGATACGAAATGGAAACAAAGTAAACACTTTTTTAATACCACATGATCAAATTAAAATGTTTTGTAACATTGCAAATAAAGTTATAAATTAAGTTTTCTAGGGCATTCTTGAAGCTTAAAATTGTTGGATCTATATATATATATTTTGTCCATTGTGATGTCGTAATATAAACCTGGAGGTCCGTGACTTCATTTCATTATCATTTGATGATGTCACAACAGGTCACTCATATTAATTACACAAAATCATGCCCAAACATTTGACATGGGTGTATACACTGTAAAACATTGTAATCATGTGTTAAACAGAACATCTTAGCAAGAAACACAGAGATGTTTTAGACTGGTAGCTACAAATACAGAAATTTGAACTGTCATCATTTCAAAGCCATACCGATTCAACGACAGCCTCTACTGCTCCTCTTGTGCGCTTCCGCTTTAGTTCAGCAGTGGTGGGGGTGGCAGCTGGGCCGACTGTTGAGGAGGGGAAGGTTGCTGGTGCCATGGAAACAAGGGGAGTGACAGGTGCTGCAGGCTCTGGTATTGGTGCCTAGTGAAAAACGTGTTAATTTTGTAATCAACTTTAAATGTATGTGTACATGTATTAGCATGATAATTATGTATGCTCAAGTAGCAGAATACTCATTCTGTTAAGTGAGTGTTTTGAAATTTTGTACAGTTTAGCATAACAGTTTACTTCATGAAATTTAGCGTTTAGAAAACTTTGGAAAAGTACAAGCAGCCATTGATCATAATGGGGTCCTGTGGTTGCTGTTTAGATATATATCAGATTATGGGATACTGAAGGTGGGGGTTCCGACATATACACATATACACACAGGTGTACAATCAGATCAGGAGACAGCTGCTGGCCATGGTTGTTCCAACATAAAAACACTTACACTGACAGGAGCTGGGTCGGAGGGAGTTTCTGCTCGCATGCGTTTCCGCTTTTGTTGGTCTGGGATTGAGGATGAAGGCGTTCCTACGGTGGATTCTGATGTTGGTGTCTATAAACACATCAAAGTTCAGATTTTCTTGTAATTATTTTTATAAAATTATAAAATCATTTTTCAAATTTTACAACACACCTTGATGATGGTGGACTTGAAACTGTATCCAATAGCATTTGATATTGGCGAAATAAAACACGATCCCCAGGTAGTTAAAAATCTTACCGATTCTGTGCCTAAATCTGACTTGGCCCTCTTGCGTTTAAGTTCAGCAGCAGGTGCCTCTGTACTACTGGACTCTTGTTTACCTGACGTACTTGACTGGGAACTACTGACAGAACTTCCTGTACAACAGTAGAAGATAAATACAAAATGTTATTAAAGAAAAGAGGATGAAACACCATATCAGCAAAGTTAACCTGTACACTACCTATAGGTAATAAAGACATTCACAAATACTCGTCAGGAAAATGTCCAACCTACACTGTATATAAGAACAATGACCAAGTTTCAGCTGGACATTGCCTAACTATCTACATGTATTTTAAAATCAACAGATAATATAAAGGTAAAGCACATGTGAACAACTTCAGTTACATCTGCACTTGTTCTTTTTTTTGTGATTATTGTCAATATATTGGATATGTTGTCTGGAAATAACATACAATTGATGAATGATAAATGCACACAATGTTAGAATTTGTCAAGAAAAGAAATTAGAAATGGCACCCCTCTGGCCTACAACTACTGTTATTAGAATTGAAATTGTTAACATTATGACAGAAATAGTTTTAAAAGATTTCTATTGAATGTGGTAATAGTTTGACATGAAAACTCTAGATGAATGTCATTGGCACAGGGTAGTGCCTTATACATAAAGATGTAGTATCTCACATGACTCTACAGAAATATCGAGGTTAGCAAGACTTCTGGTGTGTACTATATAGAGCCTGATTGCAGGTAACCTCTGGCTAGTGCAGCGGGTTATCATTTATGCAGGGAAGCAAATTGTGTACAAGCATCTTTACACAGGTTTGTGTTAATTAATTCAGCAAATATTGTTCTGGAATCTTTTAGGGGGCCGCAGTGGCCAAGTGGTTAAGAAGTCTGACATTTATGATCATTAGCCTCCACCACTGTGTTGCAGGGTTGAGGCCTACGTCAGGCAGTAGTGAGTAGCCAGTGTTTTTTTTCCAGACACTCCACCACCAAAACATGTTACGTCCTTATATGACCGCAGCTGTTAATAGGATGTAAAACACATACAAACCAAATCTGGATTCTTATGATCATATCTACAAGATTCAACTTCAATATCAAAGTTGAGATTAGTGAATATAAAAAATCCTCGAAGTGTTCAGTAACCAGTGGTTATAATATAACTGTACCTCTTTGTTTTGAACTCTTTTCTATGGTAGGTGTTTCCGATCTCTCTTTATCTTTTTCTTTGTCTTTTTCCTTTTCTTTGTCTTTGTCCTTTTCTTTTTTATCTTTTTCCTTTTCCTTGTCTTTGTCCTTTTCTTTTTCTTTTCTATCTTTTTCCTTTTCCTTGTCTTTATCTTTCCTTTCTTTTTCTTTATCTTTGTCTCTTTCTTTCTCTTTTTTGTCTTTTTCCTTATCTTTGTCTCTTTCTTTCTCTTTTTTGTCTTTTTCCTTATCTTTCTCTTTTTTGTCCTTTTCTTTATCCTTTTTGTCTTTTTCCTTCTCCTTATCTTTGTCCTTGTCTTTGTCCTTGTCTTTTTCTTTTTCCTTCTCCTTTTCTTTCTCTCTCTCCTTTTCTTGCTTTCTTGAGTAAGCCCTTGCCTGTCTTCTTTGCCTGGAAAAATCATCATTTAATTACCTGGTAACTGTTTTAATTCCATTTTTAGCATGAAATCAGAACTATGAAAAGGCTGATCAGTCCTTAAGTCTAGATTGTTGCTGACTCCTGATTCGTAAATCATATCTCAAGTTTAAATGATTGAAATTCCAAAAGTGAGAATTTTGCTTAAATTTGATACATATATGTTTCATCAGAATCTGGTTATATGTTATTTAGTTACTGTGCGGAACCTGTCCTACAAGTTTTGATTATCTTCCAATTTAGCCTCAGCTTTCGTACATTTCATTCCTTAACTCATTCACTCCTACATTTTTTAACTGGACTTGCCCAGTCTTTGATTTAGTAAGGTTCAAATGTGACTTCAGGGGCGAATGGGTTAAATGGAGATACCGCAAATATTGAATGTACTTACTGGTGAGCCTTGTGTAATTCCCTTTGTTTCATCTGACCGGCATCATTACATTTCAGCACTCTGCTTTCTGGTACCCATTCATCCCAACTGAATAAAGAAATTAAAAAATAAACATGATTAAGACCTGAACTAAAGCATAATGTGGAAGCAAAATAAACTCAACAACAATTTTAATGGATTCCATTTTATGTACCAATGTGAACAGGCCAATGCAATAGCAGAATTTCTTGACCCATCAGCTATCAACAGTTATACAATGAAATATAATATTATACATGTCCATTATTTGGGATTCCATAATATTTAAAAAATTATAAGACGTTAAAAAAAAATCTTAAGTTGAGAATTAAAGTTGGCATGCCAACTGTATGAATTAATTTAATTTGTATTTCGGTTTAAATTTTCAACTTGACATATAGTGTTTTAACATGATCTTTACAAGGAAAGGTTCAGACACTGGCTCAATATAGTGAACTTGAAGGCAGACTGAACTTGATGTATATTATAATTAAACACAAAATACATAATTTTTCATGAAATCAGTTTATATGTGTAAAATGTCTAGAAATTGTCAAAATGTTTACTCAAGCAATATATGAATATACATACATTGTGTGAACATTTTTAAATACAGCATAATCAGACTGTATTCATGTATCCACATGTTTTTCAAGTTCAACTATTATGTATTCTCTGAAATGCCACCAGTTATACCCTGTATCTATCTAGTGTTATATCAACGAAGAATATACACACATGACGTGCGAGCAGTTACTGCTGTTACCCAATACATACTTTTTATTCCAGCCGTTGTAATGGATGAAGTATCGGACCTTGTTGTCTTTAGTTTCATACTTTACACACTAAAATGAAATTATTTAATAATCAATGAATACAATATAGTGTATGCATGGATACCGGAGCAAAGAAACTTTTACCAAAACAACCACTAATTCTACCACCACTTTATGATCAGCTACATCAAAACAGAGAATCTGCAGTTTTGAATGCATTAAATACAAGTTAGTACCATTGTTGATTTTTCAATAATATCAATCTTCACACCTTGACAATTCAATATCACTTTTGATACACTTGATCTGTCACACTGCGAAAGATATTGATTGTATCAAATTGACAGAATGCAATATCTGGCTGGCAAGAATGTACTCTCTATTTTTTTCTGGTATGCCAGCAAAAACAGACAATTTTTTTCTTGGTCTTTCCAATGTGTGAACAATATATATATATCTATGTTGACATTTAAATTTTGTATAAATTTTGAACCTAACAGTGACTGAATGGTACAGTATAATAGATGGCATCAGAAACCAACTGCAGAGACTCCATATAATTTATGTACATGTACTTGTATTCAAACACTGTTACAAATCATTCAATAGTTGTGTTTTTATTTGTCAAACATTTGTTTTATTCTTAAACCAAACTTATTGTTAACAATGAATCTAATATGGCTATGTTACTCTGTACTGTACCTTTGCTTCATAGAGAAGTGGTCCATGGAAACAGAGAACCTTCTCTCCTGAAAAAAAAAGAGAAATTTTAAATATAGCATTTCATATATATATATATACAAGCACTCATATTATAAAACTGTGAAGTTCCTGTTGGTGAGTAGACTTGAATTAAAATGTATGGCTTGTTTAGTTGTTACATTTTACTAAACTTTGTGAGTTGATTGATAATTTGTAATTCTTCACCAAACATGAATATGTCAGACTTTATATTAGGACATGTCTGATAAAATCTTGTTTGGTCAAATAAAAAATCTCAACAAGTCTGTTCAAACTATTTTACATTAAAATTATAAAATGCTTACATAAAAACTGCTTTTTAGTTACCTTTGTATTGGAATGGAATAAAATACACAAATTGGTTGAAAACATACATTTGCAGTGTGATTTTTATATGCCACAACTCCTTGTCGTTTGCTTATTCACATAAATGCCCCTGCTGCCATGTGAAATTAGTTTCAGTGTTCTATAAAAAGTTACAACCACTTTGATCTTGATACCCATGAAACAATACATGCACACACACAAGGTATACGTATACACTTAAAGTTGATAAGTTGATTTTAATTTTCATATTTTTTTCTTCTGTATGTTATTACCATCTCCATTTCTTTCATTATTCTATTTTAAAGTGTAAAATAATTTGAAAGGGGGCAATTTTAGCATATCATGCAACATGTTTTTGAAGGGCATTCTTGATGTGCTGTCAGAGGGTTTATGGAGCAATCATGATCAATGTATAAGTTACTTAAGTGCATATCTGGTAATATTGTTTAATGTTTATTAGGGTTTTTCCAAGCTATTTTGGGAACTTTAGGGCCCCTGACTGCCTGAGCATGAATTGGGAAAATAGTTCTAGTTCTATCGGTTTTTTGCCAACTTCAACAAAATGAAGATTATGCAAGTTATGATAGGAATTGCATGGCTTGGGGATAAAAAGATTAGTAAGATGTACAAGAGTTGATTGCAGATTTAAAGGCAGATAGTGTAGCACTTGTGGCCAAGTCAGGAGGGAGGGCATTCCATTGAAATGTAGTAGGACAAGGAATAGTGATAAAGATAGTGCCATTGCTGGGCCTCGAACCTGCGACCATTGGCTCTCCAGCCCGATGTTCTACCGCTGAGCTAAAGGGAAATTCCCTACAGCTGACGCTTGAAAGGCAACCTAATCAATGCACTTCTTTTACATTATTCCCTTCTTTTTCAAAAAACCAACCCAGGTTCTTTGACTACCCGCCAATTGCAAGGGTTCTCCTACCTTGAACGGGGAGGGTCAACGGCACGTTGTAGGATGAGGAATAGTGATCGAGATAGTGCTGTCGCTGGGCCTCGAACCCGCGACCATTGGCTCTCCAGCCCGATGCTCTACCACTGAGCTTAAGCGAATTTCCCTACAGCTGACGCTTGTAAGGCAACCTAATTCAATGCACTTCTTTTAGAGATATTGTTCGCGGAAAGAAGCTTTTTTTCCTAACAGAGGTTCTGCAGGAGAGTATTTGAAAGGAAAGTGCGTGAGAATGTCTTGATAAGGGATTGAATGGGATCAGATCTGTGGAGCGAACAGCTATTTGTTTATTTACTATTTATACATCACAGTGAGACGAGAATCTCAACGTCGGTCTACCAGGCTACGCCACTGCAAGCGGTCCAGCATATCGCTCACACTGGACATATTCCTTTGTCAATTAGTAACAAAATGGGCAGCTCGGCGTTGGACCTTCTAAATTTGGTCAATATCTTTTTTAAAATGTGAATCCAAAAACCACACTGGCATATTCTAATTTTGGACTGACCAAGGCTTTATACGCTTTAATTTTTATCATCGGCATTTGAAAAACATTTGGACCTTTCGTCAGTGTTCCCATATGTACAGGTTTGGGGAAATATCATATGTTTGGAATAAACAAAACCTACAATGTGACTTGCAAAATTGCAAAAAGTTTTCCTATCGGGTGCCGAAACGCTAAAACGATGAACCCGATCCCGATTCATGATGGCGAGATTTGTTTAAAAAAATACAAACTTATGAGAAAGATATGTTAACGAGTACAAATTTAAGTTCACCATGTACATAGGACAATTGTTAAAGGTTATTAATAATACGTACCTTCCACAAATTTCATTTTAGGTGGCATTGTCGTCGATGAAATATCTGTAATAATCTCCCGCGAATAACCCGGACATACCAACTGAACATCTGACCAACAAACCAAATGCAGTGGTGGTTGTTCCGGAATATTATAAGCGGGCGTTAACTTTCCTTGCTTCTGAATAACTCTATGAAAATATGAAAAAATAGAGGCATAAGATAGCTTTTTTAAAATGAAATGCTCACGAGCATAAGTTTATTGTTTGTATTTATTTACGCAACGTAGCAGGATTATAAATGGGAGAGGGTAAAACTCGGAATATTACACCCGCCACGGAGTTCGTATATTGTTTTTGAGTTGTGCAATAAAACTTTCTCAATATTCTAAACAAAAATATAATGAAAATATATAATGAACGGTGATACAATGATGAATAAAACATATTATCGGAGAAGCGGATCATGACTAACGGGAACGTTTTATCAATGTGCTTTATACCAAACTATCAATTCCAAAAATGTTTGTTCATTCTTTATAAATAGATAACGTTACTATCCAGTTTTTATTTCTATAACAAGTTGGTATTTCCGGCGTTTTCACACAAGTGTCCCGTTTTGAGGAGTACTGTATTGTCCCGTTTTGGTACGCCTTGTCTTGATGCTTGAAAAAATGATATTTAAGATATTTTGATTCCCTTTAAATAACCGTAAATGTAGCAACATACTTTTTTTCTATTTAGTTGCGGTAACGTTACATGTGTTTACTAAAAAAGTTTTTATGTCGTTAATGGAACATTGAAAACAGTTTGAACTTATTGGCACCAATATTTGGAGGGCATATCAGAGACCTACATGTACATAATATCGTGTATGTATAAGCAGGTCTCTCATGATATTAACAAATTGAAAAGTTGCAATCGATCTTAATTTATTTATTTTCGTTCTAACAAATGCTACCGTATATGACACATCAGAGACACGTATAACATATATATATACGTAATACGTCTTTGATCAAATATTGATTAGAAGGCAAGCATGGAAATACATAAAGTCTAAACGTCAAGACAACATGGGAGTCTCCCCACTTAAAAACAAAGGGATCTTAACATGCGACAGCAAGGGAAAAGCAGAAATACTTGTGAACCAATTTTAATCCGTGTTCACTGTCGAAGACAAAGCCTCAAACAATATGCCTCCAACAACCAAAAATGTAAAATCAAAAATTGGAGATATCACCATTGGTATAGAGGGGGCAACAAAACTACTTCGAAAAGTCAACCCAGCCAAAGCATCAGGACCAGATGACATCCCAAACAGAATTCTTAAAGAGTGTGCCCAACAAATCGCACCAGGGTTAACTGCAATATTCCAATGTTCACTAAATTCAGGACTACTACCATCAGATTGGCTCAGCGCAAGTATTTCCTGTATATTCAAAAAAAGGAGACCGAGATGCAGCAGAAAACTAGGCCAGTATCATTAACATCAGTACCCTGTAAACTACAGGCCAGTATCATTAACATCAGTACCCTGCAAACTACAGGCCAGTATCATTAACATCAGTCCCCTGAAAACTACAGGCCAGTATCATTAACATCAGTACCCTGCAAACTACAGGCCAGTATCATTAACATCAGTACCCTGCAAACTACAGGCCAGTATCATTAACATCAGTTCCCTGTAAACTACAGGCCAGTATCATTATCATCAGTACCCTGTAAACTACAGGCCAATATCATTAACATCAGTACCCTGTAAACTACAGGACAGTATCATTAACATCAGTACCCTGTAAACTTTTTGAGCACATTATCTGCAAACACTGTTAAACCACCTTGAAAAATATAATATATTAACATCTTTAAACCATGGATTACGTTCCGGATTTTCTTGTGAAACCCAACTAGCAGTCACTATGGACGATCTCCTAAAATCATTCAATAGCAACAAGCAGGGCGATGTAGCAATTCTTGATTTCTCTAAGGCTTTCGAGACAGTCCCCCACCAAAAATTACTCCATAAACTGGATAACTACGGCATCAGAGGAAACCTCCACAACTGGCTCTCGAATTTCCTGACACAAAGACAGATGAGAGGAGCACTAGAGGGAGAAACATCCAGAGAAATAACCGTTGACTCCGGGGTACCACAAGGGACAGTGCTCGGGCCACTATTATTATTTCTGTGCCATATAAATGACCTACCAGAAAGCGTAACATCTAGCATACGTCTGTTCGCCGAAGACTGTTTGATATACAGACAAATCAACCAGTACAGTGACCACCAACTACTACAGGACGACCTAAACAACCTGGAAAAATGGGCTAACCGATGGTGAATGAAATTCAACACCAAAAAATGCTATGTTATGAACATCAAAGAAAAAAGTCACATATACTACACCCTAAATGGACATATCTTGGAACAAGTGAAAAATAATCCCAATCTTGGACTAACAATTTCAGATGATCTCAAGTGGAACACCCACATACTAAAAATAGCAAGGAGAGCCAGTTCGACCCTTGGCTTTCTCAAAAGAAACCTAAAACACTGTCCATCGTCTTGCAAGAAAACAGCATATATATCCCTAGTGCGATCCATCCTTGAATACGGCGCCATTATTTGGGACCCTTATACCAAAAAAAGAAACTGACAAACTGGAACAAACTGAATACAGCGCTTGGCAGCCAGATTCATCTCAAATGACTATAGATCCAGGGAAGATGGATGTATCACAAGGATGCTGGAGAAACTCGAACTACCAACACTCCAGGTCAGGCGAGCACAACAGAGGGTCACATTTATGTACAAGGTGGTTGAGGGGTTGATACCAGCTATACCTCCAGCCGAACATTATATCTAACAAAAAACAGACCAAAAAGGAACATCAAGGCCAGAAACTTCTCGGACTATGTATCGAATAATGTGGTGGAAGCATCAGTTATAAATAACACAAAATCTTATACAGTACCAAAGTACATATGTGATCAATACAAAAACTCATTCTTCGTACATACAGTTATAGAGTGGAACCACCTGGAAGATGACGTAGTATGTGCCCCTAATTTGGAGGCCTTTAAGAGTGCTATAACGCACCAAAAATCAAACTGAGCTGCTCTCTCTCTCTCCCGTTGTAAAAAACCCCGGAACCGGGTACTACAACGTACATATACAGATACAGATACAGATACAGATAACAGACATCAGCTGCGTCCGATGTCGGCAGAATGACAATCGCTGTGCCCGCCGGTGCTATTGTAATAACTTGTTGTTCGTTCCTTTGAAATCATTTGTTCAATAAAATAAGTTTAAACTAATACTACATGTTGTGAATAATTTACGCACTGCTTTAATGATGTCATCCGAGTAAGGTGAACAAGTTAAACATGATTTCATTTTAACATAAAAGGTATATCCACAGTTAACCACAGGGATATATGATCATTTAAAAATAAATATTTTAAAATCCAATACCCCTTTGTTATTGAATCATTGAAAAATACATCGCTAATACAAAAGCAAGCTTGATTTTTAGTCACGAATCCTACAATAAACTCTTCTTATATATTTTTTTCACTAAATAATCAAATAACAGGTAGACATTTACTATGATAATGCATGTCCGGTACAACATACTTTTTATTGATTTTTGTCACAAATTACCGGACATTTTGTTTTGGTAATTTCTATAGTAATACATTATTATTTCTTATCTAATTTTTTTTTCATTCTTAAAAGAAAAAAACAACAACATGAAAAACATCAAAGAACACCTTGAACTTCCCACCTTGAAGCACTCCGAGACAAATCAAAACCTGGCACGTCCTTAAATGACCATAGCTGTTAATAGGACGTAAAATACAAACAAACCAAACCAAGACAAATGACTATTAAATTCCGGAATTTCACAACAATTTTCTTTCAAAGTTAGTATCGACATCTAGTGAGAGTCAACATAGTCTCGGTCAACCAGACTCTTGTTACATGCGCAAGCTACGCTGAATAGAGAAGTGATAAAGCGTCTGGTTGACCGAGACTAGAGTCAACAGTGTCAAACAGCTGAGCTGCCCTCACTGGAACCGGGGCTGACTGGGACCGTCGCTGACCAGGACCGTTGCATATTGTGGAGTTTTCATACACTTGTTTTAGCAAAAATCTGCAATTATTTGCATCAATATGTGACTAAAGTTAAGCATGGGAAAATATCAACATCAAATTATCAAGACAAAGGGATTATGACCATTGTTTTTAATACAAAAAGTGTAGCAGAACTCATAATGCGGAGTTGAAATATAACAGTTACCTCCCTTCGATCATGTAACACAACGAAATACTAAAAATATACATCTAATAAAACACGGTCCTGAGCGGGGACATCCTTATCAGGAAATCAAATGTTAAACATATCCGTTGTGAATCTTCTCATTATTAAAGTAAGAAGCAATGAATCGGTCAAGCGATGTGTCATAATGATTTTTAAATAAAAATATGTAAAATGAACGAGGAAATACTATATATATACATCTTATAACATGCACGGTCCTGAGCGGGGACATCCTGATCAGGTATCAAATGTTCAATATATCCTTTGTAATCCTTCACATTATTTAAGTCAGCAGCAATGAATTGGTCAAGCGATGTGTCAATGATTTTTAAACGAAAATAGCAACGTGAACGACGAAATACTATATATATACATCTTACAATAGACGCGGTCCTGAGCGGGGACATCCTGATGAAGAAATCAAATGTTAAATATATCCGGCATTTTTCGTCATATAAGTTAAGTTAGTGATAAACACGGCTAAAAGATGTGTCATATTGATTTTCAAAAGAGAAAGAAGTAACTCGAACAACAAAATACTGAATGTATACATCTTACAAGAAACGCGTTCTTTAGCGGGGACATCCTGATCAGGAAATCAAATGTTAAATATATCTGTTCTGAATCTTCTCCTTAGTAAAGTAAGAAACGAATACGGTCAAACGATGTGTCATCAAGATTTTTAAATAAAAAATAGGTAAAATGGACGACGAGATACTAAATATATACATCCAATAACATACACGGTCCTGTGCGGGGACATCCTGATCAGGGAATCAAATGTTAAATATATCCGTT